CAATATAGACGAATTAATTTGGTAATAGAATAAAAATCTAATCAAATGACAGTCTATCAAATGAGAAAAAATAATTTCTTAATGTCAAGAAAAGGGCATGTATAAAAGAAAATTAATTTATTATAGGGCTTAAAAGTAAATATTTATTTTGAAAATTTAAAAAAAAACTTTAATTTTCAATGAACAACAAAATTATTTATTTTCTCCTTTTGTTTACTCTTTCCTCTTCAAATTTACAAATTAATGAACGATTTTTGGTTAAATCTACAGAAGATAATAAAAATGAGGATGGATCCTCTAAAGTAATTTTATTGAGAATGGAATTTACTAAAATAGTTGAAGATGGGAAAATAAAAAGTAAAATTGAAATTTTGTGTGAAATTGATGAAAATATCGAAAAAGATAAAATTAACTTACATATGAAAGCTCCCGGACATAATTTACTTATAGGAGAATTTTCACTTGATAAAAGTGTAATTGATGGAAATAAAGGAAAAAAATTAATGTTATTTGAATTATTATTTAATTTTTTAGAAGTAGTTACTATTAGCATTTTTCTAAATGAAAATAATGGAACAGAAACAAAAAGGAAGGTAAAATTACTTAACAATTATTTGGAATTTTCCCATAGAAACTTTTTACGTAATAGATATCGGGGAGATCAGAGAATTTGAAGGTTTTAAGTGATTTAAAAGAAGGGGATATCTGTGGTGATATCTCGGTTATAAGAGGATTTTGAGTGATATCAGAGGATTTAAGGAAATTTGGGATAAGCTGGATTAGGAGGATTAATTGGGATCTGTAAATCAATAAAAGTTGTAGGGATCAATGTTGGAACAACATTCCCAATCATTGGAATACATAATTATAAAATTAAAAAAGTTTAGTGTTGATGATATGTATGATTTTCGATATTTTGAGTAATTCGTCATTTTTTCCCAAAAATAAACAATTCTAGAAATTAACGCATAGTAACAATTAGAGATCGGCCGGAAGGCAAAATCAAATATTTGATCAAATAATTTGAAAATTATTTGATATTTGAAAAAATTTGATTTATACCAAAAGTCATCAAACAAATATTTGATCAAATTATTTGAAAATTATTTGATATTTGAAAATATTTGATCTAAAAAGTCAAATATTTGATCAAATATCAAATTTTTTAAAAAATTTTGGAATAACATATAGATCGGGGTATTTGAGTTTATATCGGGGATATTAGGATATGAAGATGATATTGGAGGATTAAAATGGATGTGTAGGGAGTAAGGGTGATATAAGGGAATTGTAAGGCTTAACGGGGATATAAGGGGATAAGGGGTGCTAAATGGGATATGAAATGATATAAGGATAATAGTTGATATCGGGATATCAGACACCTAGGATATCTATATTCCACTTAATCCCTCGATATCCATCTCAAATCCCCCTATAGCCCTTTTAATCCAAAAATCCTTCCAATCTGTCAATATCCATCCAGCTTACATGTTATCCAACCAAATTACCATTTTTCTTTATTTTTTTATAAAGACGGGTTTTTGTATCCCTTTTAATCCCTTTTACTACCACAAATCCACCAGATACATTTAAACACAAAAATTGAAAAAAAATTTTTTTGAAAAATCCGAAAAAACCCCGGATCCGGTCCGGAATCCGGGTATATTCTGGTATATTCTGAATTCGGTTTAAACTGGACCGAATTAATCCGAAAAATCAGGCCGGATCCGGTCCGGCAAAACCCAAAATCCGGTTTCATGACAAGGAAAAACTATTTTGGCGATCACTAATAATTTGTCTTGAGCGAAAATCTCGGTTACCATATCGTTATTCTAAGAAAAATATGCCAACTTTACATTTTTGTACGAAAATCAAAAAATTTTCAAATTATTTGATATTTGATCAAATATTTGATTTTTCTGACCCACATCAAACAAATATTTGATCAAATTATTTGAAAATTATTTGATATTTGAAAAAATCAAATTTTTCCAAAAAGTGGTCAAACAAATATTTGATCAAATAAATTCAAATAAAATTTGATCAAATATTTGATTTTATTTGACCAAATATTTGTTTGGCCGATCTCTAGTAACAATTATCTAAATTTTATTTGCATTTTAGATTCTAATAACCGTAGAGCCTTTGATTTCTGCACAAATCAGTTTTGAAGTAAATAAATTGAAAGTTGATAATTTAAAATACGATGAGTATAATAATCAAATTATGGATATAGAAATACAAGGGATATATACATCTTTATTGACAAATCCATCAAACCCTAATAAATTAACTAGATTTATATGGTTTTTGAATCCTGAAGGGCCTAGAAAAATTTTAAAAACAGAAAAACATAAAAGAATGAATTTTATCGACTCGACCTCATTAAAGGCTAATAAACAAGAAGCTAAAATGGAATATTCTCACATTGAAATTATTGTAAGGCTGAAAGGTGTAATCCTTGAGAAACTAATAAAAACCCCGCCTAGAGAGAAGGTGCATATAAGCTAAAGGAAAATAAGGAAAAGCGGCTTAGTTGACGATCATTCCAACTTAGTTCCTATTCAATCAATGGCCTAGTGTTCGGTCGGCCTAGAGCCTGACCAAGTGGTATACCAACAATCATTCACCCCGCTTGCTTGCGCTACCTCTGGCAATTATTCACCGCACGCATTTCCATCAACATCTTCTCTCTTTAATTAGGCTGGGCCCCCTAATTAAATTATTTACTGGTAGCACCGGATGGTTCAGCGAAAGCTGAACGCATGACGGTCTATCTCGCGTGCTTCCCCCGGGCCAGCTCAATGCGCGCTGAGTGGTCCGGGAGGCAGTGGGGAATGATTAGGGCTTCGGCCTTAAATAATCGAAATATAAAAATATATAAAAATATATGAAAATATAAAATATAATTTTTTTCAAAAAGAAACAACAACAAATATATCAACACAAAAAGTGGCACTTATGAGAGACCTAATTTCATAAAAATTTTTTTAAGCTCTTTTTAACAACCTTGACTACCTCCTCTAGAAATTCCAGAATTTTTCATCAAAAATTTCTGAAGTTATAATCGATTAATTTCTATTAATTCTACAATTAGTTCAATTTCCACAATAGATTAACATTGCAAAACTTTGATCTTTAATTTTAATTCTTCCAATTTTAAGAAAATATTTTATTTTTAATTGTAAGAAAAAATTTATTTTTATCTATTTTCGATCTAACAAAAAGAGACTGTCTTCAAAAAATGGTAATAAATTCTTTACTCTCTTAAAAAAAAAGAGAGGAGAAATAAATCAGTTGTAAAAAAGACAAGGGTGGAAACCTTTTTCAAAAAAAGGAACTATATACATTTATATACATTTATTTGTTTAATCAAATTGCTTGATTTTTATTGGTCCAGAAATTTCATAATTTTTTTTTAACAAAAAATTTCTGGAGTTATAATCGATAAACGAAAAAGGCATTTTTCAGAAAATCAACATTTTTGGCCACAATTTCCGAAATTCTTGATCAAAAAATTCAGAAATTTTCGAAAAACATAGATAAAGGCACGAGAGTTATTATTGCAAAGTTTTATCTTTTTGATAAGCAACTAACTGTTTTATAAGCCCGCGCCGAAACGTCTCAGTCCCATTAAAATTACTAAAACATTAAGAAAATTCTGTCACCGATATACACACGATAAATTTTATCCTTTTCATTTTTATTTTCCCAACAACAAAAAAAAGGACAACCATTAATCATTGTCTGGTACTAAAGAGAATATACAAAAGGAAACATTTTCTCTCCTTCAAAAAAAAAGGGAGGGGGAGGGCTGACACAAAATAGAAAACACAATCTCCGCACAATCCTTTTTAAAAATGATTCATTCGTCTACAAATCTTTAAACAAAAATAAATTTTTACATTTATACTTAAAAATTCTGTTGGGATAAAAATTTTTTAAAATTTCTTATTTTAACTGTTGAAATTCATTTTTAAATATATCTGACTTCAAGACAACTTCTGATATCTCCTTTTACTTTAAAAACTCTGATTTTTACCAGAATTCTGATTTTTATTTTTCAAAACAGAATCAGAATTTTTGATTTTATTATTTGTTTCAGAATTTTCTGATTTTTAATTTACAGAGCTATTCCTGCCCTTTAACAATTTCTCTTTTTCTTGTTTAATTATGATTTTCCTCAAATTCTGATTTTGTAAATTATAATTTTTTTAATTCTGATTTTTTTTTAAACTATGATTTTAGCAGCAAAAACTATGTGGGCATCCAATGGTGTTTTGTGCCAGTCTATTTTACGAATGCTATGGAACAGTACAGTGACAATTATTATTATGTTCAAAATGCTTATTGGGTGCCCATTCAGGATCATAATGTTCAGGACCTCAATGTTTTACTCACCTGCACTTTTGTTGGGGGAATTCCACTTGGTTGGAGAATGAGCGTAATTTTAGTTTAATAATTAAAAAAAAAGGGGGAATACTAAAAATCAGCCACAACGGAAAATTCTCCCAATTTGATTTTTGAAAAGATTGTTCAGAAACTACTGCTTTTAATTATATTTCGGAAATTTATGATTTTGACAGACTGATTCATTTAAATTCCGGGTTTTTGCAAATTCTGGGTTAAAAAAAAATCTAATTTTTAGTTCTGTAGTAAATTCTGACACATAATTCTGAAAAATAGATTTTTGATGCTGAAATTCTGATTTTCTATGAAACATTCATTTTTCTTCCTCACATTTCACAAACTCAGAATCAAAATACTATTTGTTTTGCTTTCCAATTCCAAAATTTTATTTTTTCCCCCTTTTTTCAAGTTTTTCAAAGAAAGTTCTCTTATTAGTACCTTACAAAATTAATTTTCATATTTAAAGACAAGGTCCAACAAATTTTTTTTTTGTTTTTACAGGATTTCTGATGACTTTAACTTAAAAATAAATACTGACTATTCGATCGAAGAATTCAAATTTTGAAAATTTTTCGAAAAAGAAATTATAGTTTTTGGAAAATTCCTCTTTCAGAAAATAAAATATCAGGGGGTGCCAGTTTCGCCTTTCGGGGATTTTCGGTTTTTGACTTTCGCGTTTCGAGTGTCGTTTTTAAATTTACTTTCTATTTTCGCATTTCGCATTTCATTTTTTAAATTTAATTTTGTCCTTCGCGTTTTATTTTGAAATTTTTTTTTTGTTTCTGTACACTCCTGGTGTGTATCCCTACTTTCGGAAAAATGAAATTAAAGTCTGATCTTTTAAAAATTTTTAATTCGATTACTTTATTCTTCTCTATTTTATTATAAATTTTTTTTTTGATCGCGGTTTTTTTCATTAAATACGAAACCAAAAGGGACACCTACAAATTTTAAAAGAAATATATTGATAATGATTAGACCCCTCTCCAAAATTTTTTTTTACTATTTTTCGCTTTGTTTCGGAAATTTATTTTTGAATGTACCGTTTAAAAATTTCATTTATTTTATTTGTTATATTTTCACGAATTTACCTCACGTTTTAAAAGGAGTTATTATAAAGTACCAGAAGTGTGTTATTCCAATCCCCATGAAATTTTTTTAATCTTTTTAAAATAACTACTTTCTAATCCTAAAAAAAAGAGGTTAAAGGGAGTACCTTTTAATTCGATTCCACCTACTCAAAAAAAATGCCAATAATGTCTTAAATTTATTAAAAATTTAAATTTAATTCTTTTAACAAAGAGACCTTCTTAAAACCAAAGGTCAAAGTTAAAGCCGATCCTGCAAAATATATTTCCCATACATAAAGTAAAGTGGAAGAAGGGGGAAGCAAGGAAGTGTAAAGCTTGAGAAAGAAAAGTGGCGATCAGAAGATAAGTTTAAAACTTGAGAAAAGGATAGAAAAGTGGCGATCGGAAAGAAGATAAAGTGTTTAAGCCATTAGAATAGTAGAAAATATTCCCAAACATTACAATGAAAAAGGGAATAGGAAAAGTGAAGGAAAGTCTAAGAAGGAAAGTCCATTAATGATAAAGCTAATATAAGGCGCCATCCCTTCTCTCAAATCGTCATTTATAATTATTATATTATTGAAAACAAACAAAACTACTTTATTCTCTTGAGAGCTTATGCAGCCTCCCAATATAGCAAGTGCCTCTGCACAAGCTAGCCACCTTAGTGCTTCGGCATCAACTAACCAAACAATTTCCTCAGCTTTGGCTGAAGATATTTCTATCAATGTAGTAGACAAGCTATTAATGTCAGGGAAAATACCGACTAACCAAGCTAAAATTTCGGACTTAGAGAAAGTACACAGTGATACAATTAGGTTGGAAGAAGGGTTTAATAGATCTCTCCGAGTCATAAATCGTAAAGTTAATCAAAATTCCACAAATGTAAGCAAGCTTGCAGATGAGGTGAATAATGGATTTGCCACCCTGGGAACACAAATAGAAAGTTGTGCGGAAAGAATTGAGTCCCGAAGTAAAGAAAAGTCAAGGTCCCTGTCTCCTATAAATAAATCAATTAGAAGGAAACCACAAAGCTCACCCAATAATTGCATACTAAGCTTTACTGGGGAAAAATCTAGTAATAATAGTTCAATTAATGACAAGAAAGATCAAATTTCAGAACACACAGTCAACATGCTGCATCACGAAGGAATACCACCTTTGGAAATTTATTCTGAAGACAATTTGGTAACGTTTGACAAGTGGAGTAAGAAATTTTTAGAACGAATTAAAGTATTTGGGGCAAAACTTTCAGAAGAGGAAAAGCTTAATCGACTTTCGCTTTTCTTAGAGGACACTCCCAAACAAATTTTAGAGAAAATAAATCCCGCAGATCGAACAACATGTCAAGAAGCAATAAAGGCCATACGAAAGGAATTGGACTCACCTCAAAGACGTGTACTCTCTAGGCAAGCTCTCTCATTCTGTAGACAACATGAAAATGAAACAGTCAAAGATTTTCTTTCACGATTTCGACCAATAGCATTAGCTACAGCAACAGACTACGAAGGACCCGCACTTGAACGACACTTATGCGAATTATTACTTGAACGACTTAAACCCAGCATCTCATTTTATATGAAACTTCTGAATTTTACACAAACTGGCAGAAGCTTTGAACAATTGTGTATGGATGCTAGAGAAGTTGAAATAATGTTACCAAGTGTAAGTGGAACAACTCCTCTGCCTCAGGCCTGTCCGGAACTCAATGCCATGCAACAACTTCAATCAAGTTACATGATTCAACCAGGTAAGTTTCAATCATTAAATCATACAAATCCAAACAGAGAACAACCTCGCAATGGCTGGAGGTACAATTCAAACGGATACTCAAGAAACCAAAATAATTTTAGAAATTTTCAGAGAAATGATCGCCGCGGACAATCAATGGGAGCTCCATTTAATGAACGACGTTGGAACAACAGACCTGTATGCAATTACTGTCAAAAGGTCGGACACTTCGCAAGCACTTGTCGAACAAGGATGGCTGAATATATGGATAAACAGAAAGGAAATTCAAACATGACACAAAGTTCCTCAAACCAACGCTATGAAGAAAGGTACAGTGACTTAATTTTAAAAGAAATATTAACGGGGATACGTAATCTTCAAGCAGGGTCGCAAAATACAACAGGCACTTCGCAGCAAAATTTGAATTCTATTGAAATTGGGGACCACAAACAAGAGAAAGTAAAAGAAAATATTGCCAATAGCAACAGAGACCCCAGTAAAATTAAAATTTCCTCCTGGGAATCTAAATCGTTAGGACCAAAATTACTCCCAATGTTAATGATTATTACATTAATAGCGTCTTGTAGCGCAACCTTTAGCGTACCAACACCTAGAATGCCAATGATCTGTCAAATGGAGAAACAATCTACACTTTGGACTTTACCACATCTTACGCATTGCCCTTCACTTATAAATAATGTCTCGCACACACCTATACCACAAACTAGGTCCATATACATATTAAATGATTTAGAATATAGTACTGAAGGTTGGGCATGTAGAATAATTAAGAAATCAGTAAGAAAATTTACGTCTCTCTCAAATGTACCAGTGACTGAACCAATAGGATCGGAAATGCTAAGTGTATCTAAAGATGAATGTGCGCGTATGATTAAGGAAAAACGCTGCAGTTTAGGCTCAATGATTAAAGAAAACGAAGTTTGGACAACACAGAATAAATTAGATATAAGTCCAAAAATGTGGCTTTTAGGCTCCTTTTGGTGGACAGAAGTATCATCCCAAAATTGCTTATTATTTAATGTTCAAATAAATTCTCACTGGGGTGAACCTGTAATTAGAACTCCTTTGGGGGGTACAAATAATTGTTCATATTCACAAGGGAACTGTATATTAAACGATAAAACAGTGCTAAAATGGGTTCCAAATAAAGATCAATTTTGTAGATATATTAAATTTGGGGAGTTCGAAGGGAAACTTTTAGACAACACCTGGCTCTCAGACGACGCTCAACTAGCACTTCACTTTAGCAAGCCGCCTCATAAATTAAAGGACTGTGGTAATGAATTAGAAGTATCAGAGCAAGGACTTGCTACAAGTATTAAAGCGACAAGACAGAAAAGAAGTTTAAATGAAGAAAAATTAGGAATAGTAACATCACCGCAGTTGGCAGCTGAACTCACTTACTTAGACACACAATTAGCTGAAACACTAACATTCACATTTACTCATTCCCTCAAGGCAGTATGTGATCATTTAGAAGAAGTTAAAAGATGGGCACTAAATTCTCTTGTGTCTAATCCTATTGGACTTGCCAGAATAATTTTTGGAAATGACTATGTAGTGGCCAAACGAGAAGGCTCTTCACTACTACGAATTTGGCCATGTATTAAAATTAATGAAGATGAATTTAGCTTTGTACCCACTCACCTGAATGAATGTTTTGAACTCATACCAATTCAGCTAACAACCGAAAAACAAAAGCATCTTGCCTTCCTAGACCCGACAACAATGATAATTCAGCCAACTTCAAGAAAAGCACCCTGTACTCAATTTCAAAGAATAACTTTAGAATTAGACAATAAAGTTATTGAGATTGACCAAATTACTGGGGAAGTAACCAAGCTCCTTCCTAGGGCAATGAAAACCAAGGAACTAAGGGCATTTGATATACCAGAAATTAAGGCCCATTCCTTTCACCAACTAATTCTAGTGAACTTAACAGATCTTAACACGCACACATTCATGACTAATTTAGTTAAAGTAAGTGAACTTTCCTACAGACTTGAAAATAAGGACATGGTTATTACTAAAACTTTATCTGAACAGTGGAAAGAAGCTGGTGACAGTCTGACAAAAGAAATAATTGGGGATTACACTTGGGCTTGGAAAATAATAGTAACCATCTTTATATCAATTCTAACCCTTGACCTAGCAATCAGGTGGGGACTGAAGATTTTAGAAGTTTATTTAGGTGAAGGACAATTAGGCAGAATGTTATTTAGTAGGACTACTCCCACTGTTAATCAAGTTCAAAAATTTGTAGAACAAAATCCACAGAAAGAAAAAGTGAACGAAGTTAAACCTGAACCTAAGTCATGGATTCCTAAAGTTTCTAGATTTCCGAGTCCAGACACAAGTCAAGAGGTCATAAATATGCTAACCGTAGATCCTCTACCAAAATTTAGGGCTTCGGCCTCAAACAACCAAATAAACTTTACTTACCCAAGTACTGCAGTAACAAGAATTAAAATAAATAATCAACCAATAAATTGTTTAGTAGACACTGGGGCAAGCATCTCTATCGCTCCTCTATCACTCGCCAAATTTTTAAATGCAAACATCGAACCCACAAGCATAAGCATAACTTCTGCCTCAGGACATGAGATTTCAGCGAACGCACAAATGCAAGTATTTTTGGATTTAGGTGGACACAAACAGACCGCAAACATTAATTTAGTAGAGGACAAACAATTACTTGAGAAACGGAACTACCAATTTATATTAGGATGTGACTTATTGAAAACATTGCCAAATGTCACATTTGACTTTACTAATAGAAAAATCTGGATTGGAGATAAATTTCTAAATTTAGGGACGGAAAATTTACCACTAGTAACTGATGTTAGAATAGCAACCTTGGAACCCACAACAATACCTCCGGGCTCTAATAAAGTTATTAATGCGAAACTAGAAACTACGTTGAATTTTGAGCACGCGATTTCACATTCATTAGATGAACGCTTAACTGAGGACAACTTAGGTCTTATTAGCACAGTTTTCGATGCATCAGATAAAATAGCAAGCCTGTTAATAACAAATCCGACAAACGCACCCAAACATATCTGTAAAGGAATGCACATAGCATACGCAAGTGAACTCAGGGAAAGTAAGGAAGGACCGTGGCTCATTGAAACTGACAAAATTAAACTAAGCCAACCCAGCATAATACATGACATAGAAAACTTAGTCAACTCTTTAGATATAGACCCAAATTTTGTAATTGATTTTTCAAAAAGTTCAGTAAAAGGGTATGACCTTATGAGACTAAAAGAACTCTGCGATGAATTTTCAGACATTTTTAGTAAAAGCCAATACGATTTAGGTTCATGTCTAGTAGGAGAGCACGACATAATTACTACGACAGAGGAACCAATTTCCACAAGGCCTCATAGGGTCCCATTCAAATACCAAGACGAATTTCATGACCATATAGACAAACTACTGAAGTCTGGAGTAATGATTAAATCAGATACACCGTGGGTATCAAACATTGTTCTAGTACAGAAAAAGGACGGGGGATTAAGACCGTGTATTGATTTTAGAAAGCTCAACGAGATAACTGTCCCGGATCACTTCCCACTACCCAGATTTGAAACAATAATGGAAAAAGTAGGAAGCTGCAACTTTTATTCGCTCCTAGATCTCTCTAGCGGCTATTTACAAATCAGACTCACTGAACGAGCTTCGCGCAAATGCGGACTCATTACCGAAAATAAAATTTACCAAATGACTCATATGCCTTTTGGACTAAAAAATGCTACAAGCGCTTTTGCTAGAGTAATGGCTCACGTAATTAGCGGGCTAGAAGACAGCGTTATAGCATATGTGGACGACTTTTTAGTGTTCACAAAAGATCCTGAATTTGACAAACACCTTAAGGCACTTATACAAGTTTTTGATAGACTTAGAAAATATTATCTCAAAGTGAGCCCCAAGAAATGTATACTAGCATCGACTCAAATGAATTTCTTAGGGCACACTATAAATTCATCAGGATATTCACCTAGTTTAAGTAAAGTCGAAACAATCACGAACCTACCTGCTCCCACAAACCTGAAGGAAGTAAGGCACTGCGTAGGAATGGCCTCATTTTTTAGAAAGCACATACCAAACTTCTCAATGATTGTTGAACCTCTGACTAGGCTAACACGAAAAGAAACCACTTTTAAATGGGAAGAAGAACAGCAGAAAGCATTTGAAAAAGTTAAAAAGATTTTAAGTAGTGAACCGGTTCTAGTCTTTCCAGATTACAATAAACCATTTCATGTATTCACAGACGCGTCACAAACAGGGCAAGGAGGGGCTCTAATGCAAAAAGACTGCGAGAAAAATATTTTTAAAGCAATTGTGTACTGCAGCAGAACTTTATCAAACTCCGAACGCAAATGGCCTCCGGTACAGATTGAACTAGGCGCGATAATTTATGCACTAAGACAATTTCGTCCATTTATTTACATGACCGAAGTTGAATTACACACGGACCACAAACCACTAGCATACCTTATGGAAAAAGCTGAAGCGCATCCGAATTTAGCTAGGTGGCTTATCGAACTTCAAAATTATAATATTAAAATCGTACATGTATCTGGAAAAGAAAACTTACTAGCTGACGCACTCTCAAGAAATCCCGCACTCGCAGGCAAAGATAATGAAAACAGCGAAGAACTCCAAGACATTGCAGAATTCCCAGTATGCCTTAACCTACAAGAAAAAGAAATCCTTAACATAGAAGACCACATTCCAAGGGTAACACTGAAACGACAGGATGGTCAAAGATATGCGATTGATATTAAATCTGAACAAGCAGACGATCTCGAATCATCAACATTTATTCAATTTCTCACATCCGGGGAAATCCCAAAGGAAATTCCTCCACTAGAACAAGAAAATTTCACAATAGTAGCAGCAAACCTTGAATTGTCCAATGGAATACTTTATCAAAGAACTCAGGGTTTAAAACCGCGTCTCTTTATACCAGCCTCCCTTAGGGCACTCATCTTTGACTCTTTTCACTCATCCCAACTTGGAGGGGGGCACATGGATTTAAAGAAAACACTCAAAAAATCTAGAAAGTACTACTGGCCACGAATGCACTCTGACATATTAAGATGGACACGCAACTGTATAACTTGCCAGCTAAGACATTCACCCAATCCACCCTACAGGGCTGAAATGCACATGGTCCCATCAAACACTTTATTTGCAAAAGTTGGACTAGATTTGGCAGGACCTTTTCCAACAACCCAAAAAGGCAACAAACATTTAATGAATATTATTTGTTGGTTTACAAAATATGTGATAGCAATACCGGTTCCTGACACGAAAGCGATAACTCTAGCTCGCGCATTTCTCGCAAACTGCTATCTGAAATTTGGGGGATGTATAGAGCTCATAACAGACAATGCATCTGCATTTACGAGCGAATTTTTCAGAGATTTTTGCTCAATGTTATATATAAATAAAAGTTATGCAACCCCTCACTGGTCACAAGGAAATTCCGTCACTGAAAGGTCCTTTAGAACCTTTCATAATATTATTTCCAAATATATAAGTAAGGACCAACCCGACTTTGATGAACTTATAGATTATGCGAGTTTCTGCTATAACACTTCTATTCACTCATCCACTGGGGAAACACCCTTTTTCTTGATGTTTGGTAGAGATCCGATATTTTGCATAGATCAAATCCTTGACCCATCAGTAAATTCTATGGTAACCAATGACATATCAGAATTTAAGCAAAAGCTAGTCACATCGCTAAGAAAAGCTTGGGAAATAGCAGCAGATGAAAATAAGAAAGCCCAATTAAAGTCTAAGGAACAATACGATAAATTGCTGAGGAACCCCACCATAACTGTAGGGGATAGAGTACTTCTAAGAAACTATGCCGGGAGAGTTGGGACTTCAAAAAAGTTCCACATGCCTTGGAAAGGAATCTTTAGGGCAATAAAAATAGAAAGTCCACATGTAACTATAACTAGCTGCAACTCACCGAATGCACCCACTAGAATAGTCCATATCAATCAATTAAAGAAATGTTTTGAGGATCTAACACCAGCGTGTACAAGTCCCAATTTACTTGATGAAGAAATAGAAAGTCTAAATAAAGCCGAAAAAGAGGAAAAGGAAAAGCACACAAGTCATGAAAATCCCTTAAACAGTAAAGAAAAGGAGGTAAGAGAGCCAAGTCCAGACAAAAATAAAGATAAAATATCACCCACAATACAAAAAGGATATAATCTCAGAGTAAATCCCAAACCCAGAAAATTATCAATAGATTAAGCAACCCGGGTAAATTAAAAAAAAATACACTTCTGGTACTTTACAAAATAAACCCACCATATTTAAAATCTTACAATTTTTTCCCTCCCACACACAAAATTCCCCAAATTTTATCAATTTTTTTTTAAATTTCGCGTATAGCCTATCCCATACATATTTTTAAATTATTTTAAATTAATTTTCAATTTTTTTAAATGACAGAAAATAATTCTCAAGAAAATATTATTCGTAGAAAAGGCCGCGGCTTTTTCACAGAAATTCCTGGTGTCACTGACAACATTAGTGCTTCGGCATTAAACAAACAATCAAATCTTAGTGCTTCGGCATTAAATAAAGAATCAAATAAACAATCAAATATCAGTGCTTCGGCATTAAACAAACATAATCTTAGTGCTTCGGCATTAAACAAACAAAATCTTAGTGCTTCGGCATCAAACAAACAAAATTTCAGTGCTCCGGCATTAAATAGAAAAAGAAAAGAAGATACTGATGTAGAAAAGCTTTTAGAAGAAACTGAAGAAGAGAAAGAAATGACTCATAAACAAGTTACTGAAAGCATGGAAAAACTTCTACTTGATGAAGTAATGGAAGTTGATGAATGGGGAACCAAAAATACATGGGAAAGCGGTCCTGGGAGCTCACAAGCCCCAAAATTTGAAAATGAAGGATTTAAAGTGGTAGAAAAGAAGAAGAAAAATAAAGAAAAATTAAAAGAAACTTTTAATGTTGTGACTTCCGCTAAAAAAGATAGAAAAGAACCAAGTAAAGGGAAAAGATTTGTAATAGCACAAGTTCAGGAAAAACGTTTAATTGCAGTGGCTCCGAGTCCAAATCAAGGCAGCAGTTGGCCCTTCTTTATCGAAATTCCAGACTCGTTAGAAATAGAATCTGAAAGACCACTATATCTAGGAGACAGTGTTTATATCACAGAATTTGAATGGATAGAAAACCGAAGAAATTTAGAAATGGACACTTGGATGTACCAAAGTCGAATTAATTTCCAAGCTACTGCCACAGAAATTATTGAAACACAACTAGCCCCGTGGATCAAGAACACAGGATTCACTTTTGACTTGAAAAGAAGAAAGAAAGAAGGCTCAGGACCAAAATCGATAGGGTCAGCAAGAGTAATAGCGTTTGGGTTAGAAAGGGGAGCAACTCTAACTACCAGACAATGTCTAGACTTTGAGTTGTCAGAACTTAAAAGAGGTCAACTAATCGACTTACAGTTGGCTCACATCCCTGAAGGTTGGCTCATAGCAGCTGGATATATACTCCCTCCAGGCTCATACTTTAGGCATGGGACAGAAATGTTAGCGGGAGGAAATTCGCATGTTCTCGGGGTAGCTTCTCTGCACAAAGAAGAGTGGAGATTTAAAACCCCAAATGGCCAACCAACATTCTTTCCCATAACACCAGAATACACTAACGAAGAAATCGAATTTGCAGAAAACATTATGGCAGCCTCCCTCATTGTTGCTAGTGAAATTGACGAAATGGCTAGAATTGAAACTTTATTCCAGGGCACGTTAGGTTTACGTACAAAAGAGGAAAGAAGAAATTTCTATATAGCTTTTGAAACAACTGACAGAAGCTTTAGCAAAAAAGTTTGTGATGTATGGACCAAAGACACAGCTATATCCGCAAAAATGAGTTATGGATCTAAAGCATTTGCGCAGGGAGTAATTAAGGAAATAATGAAGAAATGCACAGAAGACAATGTGATTATTATTGAAATAGATATATTCCTTATTCCGCACTTAGAAGCTGAACAAGAAGACGATTTTGAAGCCATGATCCAAGGCGAAGACGTAATTATAATAACATCAGAAGGGGGAGGTGGTTTAAGAGCACAATCTGAAACGCTGGGATTCCATTTGGCCTCACAAATAATGGAGAGAGAAGAGTCCAAAAGAGCTGAAATCCTTAAGTCTATCTTTGCCCGTCAAGGGTCTGACGAAAAGGTCAAGGGAGGCAAATCGGGTGAATCTAAATTAGAATGGCGCCAACAGCTAAACGACCAGCAACAGGAAACCATCGAGAACTGGTTAAACGAAGGTGCCGGGCGGGTGCACTTTCAACAAGCCCCGCCCGGTACCGGGAAAACCAGGGTTGCTGCGGCCTGCATAGCGGCGATTGTTCACCAAGATCCTGACTGTGCTGTTTTGGCGACATCAGGATCAAATTTGCCCGTTAGTAAATTGACAGAAGAGGCGGCCCGCACCCTTCCCGAACAAGACATGATTGCATTCTTTAGTGGTATGGCAAAAGTACGTTACAGTGAACACATAGCATTACTTGAAAATCACCTCTTGGCTACCAAAATCAATAAAGAAGGGTATCAAAACAAACTAGAGCCAGGACAAGCTAGAGATGTTAAAATTTACTTAGAAAAAATTGAGAGACATCCAAAGCAAGCAGCAGAACGAAAAGTCGGAGCGGTTCTTCAAAAAACTGAATTTAGAAACGTCGTTTTTGCTACAATCCACATGGCACTAAGCATACCGGGGGCCCACGTTAAAACAACGCACCTAGTGGTGGATGAAGTCACCCAGGTTTCGTTTACCTCAATGGTTCATCTCCTATGCCAAATGCCAAATGTGGCGTCTGTCCTCCTTACGGGGGACAGACGTCAAATAGGCACACATCTGAATGATCTCCCGGACATAATTCATGAAGGATTTGGGCTTGAATCGTTAACCACGCAAATTCAACACTGCCCTCGTATTTCTACAACTACTCTTATTTATTGCTATAGGGCGCACCCAACTCTGGTAGAATGTTTCGACTATGCTTCATACAGACAGCATAATGAGAGAGTAATCCCTGCAATTGCACCCACAGAAAGAAGAGGACTTACTGATTTGGGAATAAATCTTCCGGTGTCGGACATCCCACTAATTCTCTTAAATATTTGTGGGCATACAGAAATTGATCCTGCCTCCTTCAGCATTGAAAACCCTGAACAAACTATCGCAGCGCGGAAAATTGTTGAAGCATTTGAAAAGAGGGATCCTGGCGGCACAGTCGTCATATTTTTATATTCTTTCCAGGCAGAAAGGCTAAAACAAAGTTTGAAGGAAGTAGGATTAAATGTACCGATACATACTACAGATGCATTTCAAGCTCAGGAGAAAAAGCTAATTGTATTGGTAACGACGCGAACAAATTCTACAGAGGCTCCCGCTGGCAACTTGACTTCAGCATTCTTAAAAGACAGCGGTCGCGCAACGGTATCAATTTCCCGCGCACAGCATGGGATGGCAGTTATTGCTGATTTTAGCGCCATTAGTGAAGGAGAAGTGTGGCGCCGATTTATTGAAGAGGCAAGCAGGCACACACCTATAGTTGGAGAAAAATATTTGGATTTAATGGAGATTGAGAATCCGTCAAGAGGTGCAGGTGGAATACTACAAGACAAAAGAGGTTGGACAATACAGGCAGCAATGGCAGAACCCCGACAACAGAAAGGACAACAAGGAAGGGGAGGAAGAAAATGCATGCGATGTGGAGGCTTTGGGCATTTGACAACAGACTGCAGGAGGAATTGAGAGTGGTGAGGAACTGCAGGAGAGGTAGAAAAATAAATTAAAATAAATTAAAATTTGTAAAAATCCAAATTAAAAAGACCAGGGTCGGTCTTCCGTGGGTTAGGAGGTGTAAGGCTGAAAGGTGTAATCCTTGAGAAACTAATAAAAACCCCGCCTAGAGAGAAGGTGCATATAAGCTAAAGGAAAATAAGGAAAAGCGGCTTAGTTGACGATCATTCCAACTTAGTTCCTATTCAATCAATGGCCTAGTGTTCGGTCGGCCTAGAGCCTGACCAAGTGGTATACCAACAATCATTCACCCCGCTTGCTTGCGCTACCTCTGGCAATTATTCACCGCACGCATTTCCATCAACATCTTCTCTCTTTAATTAGGCTGGGCCCCCTAATTAAATTATTTACTTTATTTTAAAATTTGAAAATCCAGGGAATTATTTTATAATTGTCGCGAAACAAAATTGTGAGTGTTGGCTTCAATTCTACGTTAAAATTAAAAAAGCAAATGAGGAAAGATGTGTGTCCAAAATGTTCAAGAAAATGAATAATTTAGAGAAGGATTTATTGAAAAGTTTGAGACAATACATTTTAATATTTATATTAAAAACAGAATTAGATGATAATGAAGTTGGACAGATAGAGTTAAATAATGATGATCCCGAATGGAAATTAGTTGCCGCAATAACTCCATTGCTGACGTTAGGAAGTTATGAATTTTATTTGGATGAGGAAGGAGTAACTAAAGAAAGAGTAAAAATTATTGATTCTAAGAAAAAATGGCAATTTTAAGGCTATAAAGAAGAAGAATCTAATAAATCATTAATTAAATTTAAAATAATTTGTTAAAACTAATTTAAACTTTGATGGGATCTATCTCATCTTGTTCCTATGTATGTACCCCTTTAGTGCCTTTACATTTTATTGTCCATTTTTCCTTTTCACAAGTAAATATTTCCTCTTGAAGTTCTAATTTGTGTTAAAATTTCTCGAATTTTTCGAAAAAATTTTTATAAAAAATTTTTTTTGAACAAAAATTTCCAAAATTTTCCTCAATTTTAACTAAAATTTGCCAAAAAATGACGAAATATGGACCAAAATATGCAAAATTTCCCAAAATATGCACAAATATGCAAATATGCAAGGGATGGCCGAAATATGCAAATATATGCATTAAGAACCGGGTCCTAAAGTGCTCGGACCAACGTAAGGTAAATGTCAGTTGGTGTCCTACATGTCCGCAAAAAGTGCGCATTTTTCCTTCCTTTTCTTGCATTTTTTTCTGCAAGGAGTGGCGCCCATTTTTCCTTTGTGTATGTATGGTAGTCTTTTGGCATGTCGAAGGAAAGAGGGAAAATAATAAAAATTAATTACTAATAAAGTACTTAATTTAACTAATAAAGTTATATATTTAACTAGTTAACTTAATTAACTAATAAAGTTATTATAACTAATAATTAGAGCTGTGAATTTTATGCATTAAAAAATGCAAAATATGCACTATAATATGCATAAAAAATTACCGAAATATGCACGAAAATATGCAAGAAACCCAAAATATCCACGCAAATATGCATGAAAAATACAATTTATACCAAGAAATTTTTCATTTTTTCATTCAAAAACATTCAAAAATCTATTTTTATCAAGATTACTCACAGTTTATATGTATTTTCAACAAATTGAGTATTTTTACTCTGTTGGACATTTTGAGATGTGGCGTTTTGTCGGTGTGACATTTTGGGGTGGGACATTTTTGGGTTGCGTCCAAAAAAACAAAAAAAATTTTTACAAAATTCTTAATTTTTTCAAATTTTTTCCAAAATTTTTACTATATTTTCACTTTTTGGCAGGATTTTGGGCAATTTTCGCGATATTTTCCCCAAAAACCTCAAAATATGCAGTAAAATATGCATTATGCAGCAAAGTCTAAAATATGCAAAAATATGCATTATATGCAAATAGAAACCCCCTCTAAAGTTTTCAAAACAAGCTAAAATAGTGTTTTTTGTGCTTTATACATGATGGCAAGTTTGCAAAAAAAATATGCATTTGCATAAAAATCACAGCTCTACTAATAATGTTAGATTGATTTTCAAATAGAATTAATTCACTTTATGTTTAGATCAGTTAGGATATCAACACCAAACAGTAAATCATCAACAATTCTTTATGAATCCAGTCAACGGTGCAGATTGCAGCATTCTGGAACAGATTAAGATTTCGAATGGATTAAGATTCCCCCAGATATTTTAGAAATTTATTTGAGAATGTTGTCCCAAATTTTTCATCTCTGATCATTTATAAAATAAAATATTTATTTGTACTCTATTAGTAATTAATTTTTATTATTTTCCCTCTTTCCTTCGACATGCCAAAAGACTACCATACATACACAAAGGAAAAATGGGCGCCACTCCTTGCAGAAAAAAATGCAAGAAAAGGAAGAAAAAATGCGCATTCTCTTTGCGGACATGTAGGACACCAACCGGACATTTACCCCAACATAAAAACACCATTTTTGAGCTTCTCTCATCAAGGCATATCCGCATACAAAACATGCATTTGCATGTTTTGTGAGTCCCTAATGATGATAGAATAGATTGAATCCCTTTTGAAGCTAACTAAATCTATTATTTTGTTTATTATTTTGTCTTTTTAACATTATCAAAAATTTCAAATTCAAAAATTTCAAAATTTCACCGTGTGCATTCAACCAAAATATATGGGCAATTATAATCAACATTTCATTAACATGAATATACAGCATAAAAACATAAATTGAACGACTTGGAGAAAAATCTGAAAGTTAAACTTATACCGTTTTTTGGTTAATAGAAACCCCTTTTTTCTAAAAAAACCTTGTGGTTTAGATTGGACTCACGGATTTGCAGATACAAATCCGTGAACTTCAATACATACTACTAATAATTCCAGTAGACCGGACTGATGTGTTAGCCATCACACCACGCCGCCTACTGCTCAGCCTTAGGAAATTAATAGCGCTATATGCTTTACAATTCAAATATTTCTATTCGGATATTTAAATAAATAAAGAATGAGTTAGCGAGTCCCAATAAGATGTGTTTAAAATTAATTTAATTTTACATATTATTAACTTTATCATTAAATATACTATTATTTTTACATTCATTATGCCATTCTTTCAATTCAATAATATATTCTCTCTTAATTTCTTTTAATTTTTCCAAACTACAAATATTTCCGCAATCGGGAATTTCAATTTCCCATAAACCATTTCCGTCAGTTTCGTTTTTATGGAAAAGTCGAATAAAAAATGTTGCAGTGTTTTCTTCTAAACCTTCAGATTTATTTTTCTGTTTATGTAATTCAATTAGTAAAGCAGTTGAGAATTTCGGGAATACCTGAATTTTTTAAATCTTCATTATGTTGATACATTTCTTATATGTTGGGCTTTACTATTATTTATATAAAGACCACCTGAAAATTTTTATTTTTATATCGAGTTTGCTCTCTAGGATAGATAACCCAGCTCAAAGCTCGATTTTTGAGAAGCTGTAGCTCAATGAGTTTCTTCCCGGTCAAAAAAGTTTTTAGATTTAACTATAATAATAGTTTCAATTACGACAATCCTATATATTCCGTTGTCCTTATATCGTGGAAAAGGCATGCCAATCAACTATGCCAACATCCAGCCCGATACTGGATAATTTTTTCCATTTATATATTCTTCCAAAAGAACTTTGCTTTCTTAAACGGGACTGCAATCAGAGCTTCATTTAAAGTTTAAAGTAGAGCGCGGACCGTACCGTACTACGGCCGTATTTTTCGGTATTTATCGGTATTCCGTATCGGTAATACGGTACGGAATACGGTACGGAAAAATTTTAAAGTTGATCGTTATTTTTCGGTATCGGTATTTTTCGGTATTCCGTACCGTTCTACGGTACGGCAAAAACTAAAATACCGATAATACCGACCGATAAAAATTTTAAATTATCATTTTATTTTAAGGGAAAATATTCTTCTTATCCTTTGATAATTTTCAAAATTTTCGCCTGCGGCGCTAAAAATAGAAGAAATTAACCTTCTTGGACTTCAAAATTCTTATAATTTTCGCCTGCGGCACTGAAAATATTGTTTTAAATGAAGGGTATAGAGGAAATAGTAGTAATTAAGAATGGATTTAGGGGATTAACAGAGGTATCTAAGGATTTGTAATGATTAAGTGGATTTGTGGGGATTAAGTGGATTTAATAGGGCCTAAGTTCAAGTCTAGGGATTAATAGATATCTGGACCACTTATATTCTCAATAATCATCCTAGCCCGAATCCTCCTTAATCACTAGAAATCAAAAGAATATTTTCTTCAATCCCTGGCTATCATTAAAATCCACTTAATCCCAACTAAGCCACCGATATCCCTCTAAATCTTCAGATATCCTTCCAAATCTATCTTAATAATTTAAATCTAAGATATATTCTTTGTCTCTAAAGATTTATATATAAATATAATTATTGTTTAACAAATTACATGATTTTTTCAAATACGGTACGGAATACCGATAAATTTTTATCGGTATTTTTCGGTATCGGTATTTTTCGGTATTCCGTACCGTTTTACGGAACGGTAAAATTCTGAAATACGGTACGGAATACGGAAAAGAATATGGCCGGAAATACGGTACGGAATACGGTACGGTACGAAATTCCGCGCTCTAGTTTAAAACATTTCACCTCTAAATTAATTCCAAAAATTGCAAGTAAACCAGCAACAGTTCCGTCGTGTCCAGAATAGGCGTAAAACTTTTCCTTGCTTCCAAATTCATTTTCACAAGAAATATTCTCCATTTTATTCAAAATTTCTGTAAAAAGGAGACCAGAAAGTAAACGCTTTTGCTTTTTTGTTTTGAAATCAAACGAATTCTAAAAAATAATTAAAATATTTTTTTAAACTCTGATCCATAAATTCATATATTTTTTGTTCTTCGTAAATCAATTTAGGAATGTCAAGTGAATCCGTTATAGCTTTAATGCTAAATAATAAATCCTAATCCGGAAAAATTAACATTATCGAGAAAAAAAGAAAGACTAGTCCCAGAATTAGACTAAAAATTCATGGAAAACTAAGTAGCCATATGACTGTAAAATCCAAATGATGTTAGGGAAAATTTACATAATTGTCTTGAATCTCAGCGCCTTTGTGGACACCATCAACCCACATTTATTCAACATTTCTATAAGGCCGGACCCATATTGATACCCAGAGACCCCTTGAATTACTTACAAGTAATTCCCTTCGAAATTACACATTTTAACGGAATACTCGATATAATAAACTTTCTCATTTATACAAATGCTTCGAAAACTTACTTTCAAATTATATAGTCTTGTAATTTCTTTTCTAGTTGTTTCAGTTGCCCAATTAGGAAGTTTAAATCCGTCATTTTGATGTGCAAAAATAAAAGTTAAAGGATCATTAATTTTATAAATATAACGAAGAGTTAAATTAAATAAACCAGAATTATTTGCAATATATTGGAGAAATGGTTGATTTGTTAATTCTATCTTTTATGAATTTAAAATAAAATTTAGATTATTATTGCACATATGCATAAGTAATTTAATTAAATTTTGTAATTAACTATTTCTGGGTTGGACCCAACTAATTGATTCTAACTTTTCAAGACTTTATCCAATAGAATCTTATAACATTCGAGAGACTTCGATAATTGGTATCTTTCTTTCATATCGGGTTTATCAAGTCTGATCAGTCATTAAGGAAGTACAACTAGATAAGTGCAATTATTTTGTAAGACAGATTTCTTCCTTTTTCAGAAAAGATCAAAAAGGGGGCGCGAAGGTCAAATAGGAGACGAATGCCTCCCAAATGCCACTCTGCTTTGAATTAAAAATTAAAGTCCATCAAAGCTAGCTGCCGCTCGGTCTTCCGCCATCTTTATTCGTATGTTTCCAACAAAATTTAGGTATATAATTATTTACCTCTCTAAATTCTTCACTCTCGAATATTTGCTCATCTGCATTTTTAGCAAGAGGGCAATCCACTTCATCAAAAACATAAGGATCTCCTCCTTTTTGTAAATATTTAATAACTATTCCAGTTTTGGGGACATTCTCTATTAAGGGTAATTTTGGGGCAGTCTGTCCATTTGATGCAAACATTCCCTGTTGATTTGCTAAAATACTCATTTTCGTGCGGTTATAGTAGCTTAAATAATTTTTATTTTGTTTTATGAAAAATGAACAATTATTTTGTATTTTTCAATTTAAAAATTATTGGGCAAAACGCATTATATGTAGTAATTTTATTTTTTCATTAAAAATATTCATTTAATCTCATTATTAAGGTGAGGATTTATAGGCAAGTAAAAACAGTGAAATATGTATGCGCCTAAAATAGGCACCAAAAAAGGCCCAAAAATAAATAAATCCTCACCTTACTCATTATAGACTAACGACCCCAGGTGATTGTATTAGAACTTTAGAACAGTAAAATGTATAACGAGGGTCAATTTATGTATTTAATTTTAAATTTATTATGTATCTACCTCGAACGATATCCTATTTCGTTTTTGGAATATTCGTCAGATAAAAACCCGCTATACCGATCTCTGAGTAAAATTCCAAGTTTAAAGTGTTGTAAGGCGCCCAATTCAGTTAATTGGCCAAGTCCGACAAATTTTTCCTAAAATAATTAAATGATTATACCGAAACTTTAAAAATCCTTTGCTGGGATTGAGTTTAATTGGGCTGAGGCACGTTGGGCTTAGTTACATTTAGTTGATATCCATATCAGAGGTGTTTCGAAACAAAAAATTCTTCGAAAATCGGAAATCGAAAATCGAAAAAAATCCAAAAATATCGAAATCGAAAATCGAAAATATTTTTCAAAATCTTCGAAATCGAAAATCGAAAGAAAATTAACCTCGAAAAACGAAAATCGAAAAAAATTTTTTAATAAAAAAATTGAAAAATAAATTTTTGTTATGTTAGGTGGAAAGTTAAAGATTAATAATTTATCATAAGATCAGTGTGGATTAAAAGGGATAATGAAGAATTAAAAGGGATAATATAGTACAGAGCTAGGCCGCTTTACTCATAGAGTTGGGCGGTACCTGGTATAGGGTTCTTGCATGGTGGGGAGATGGGGCTTCCAAATCCACTTAAATCCAAGCAAATCCTCCAATATACCGGAGCCGAAGCATAATATTGTTAGTAGATCAGGGCTTTCTCCAATTAGCGCCGCAGGCGAAAATTTTGAGAATTTTTGAAGATCCTTAAGCCAAAAATCGTCATTTTCTGCGCCGCAGGCGAAAATTTTGAGAATTTTGTGAGGCAAATAAGCAGATTTTCTTTTTATTTTCAGCGCCGCAGGCAAAAATTTTGAAAATTTAGGAAGGCCTTATGCGAAAAAATTCACATTCTTTGCGTTGTAGCAAAAATTTTAAATGGATATCCGCGGATATTGAGCATCATATCGGTATCCATCCGTATCCGTCCAATTAAAAAAACACTATCCATATCCGTCCGTATCCGCGGATATCCGCGGGTATCCGGATATTATCCGTATCCATGACCATGCCTGATCCTTAAGCCAAAAATCGTCTTTTTTCTGCGCCGCAGTCGAAAATTTTTTAAATTTATGATGGCCGTTAAGTCAGAATTCCTCATTTTTGGCGCCAAAAATTCAAATTTTTTCAAAAATTCGGAAATCGAAAATCGAAAATATCACAAAATTTCGAAAATCGGAAATCGAAAATCGAAAGGAAAAAAACCTCGAAAATCGAAAAACGAAAATCGAAAATCGAAATTTCGAAACACCTCTGATCCATATATATTCATTTATCCTTGATTTGGACAAATTTTAAATAGCAATCCCAAGGAATTGACCAATCAACTTGCCATAAATTCCAAAATGGATAGATAAACAATGAAAACCTGATCGAATATTCGAAAAATTTTTGGAAGTGATCATTCCAGACGGAATTTTAAAGTGGCTTTATTATCATTCCCCGAATAATTTCTATCCTACTTTTATCATTTCAACAGTATTTTGTTTATCTGAAGGTAATAAAGAAGTTGGCGTTCTATCTCCGTGTCTCCACACAGCTGTGACAAATAAAAGAGTTTCTAAATCGGCCTGAAAATAATTTATATTTTTGTTTTTGATACGAATTTAGGATTTTCTTATCCTGTTATCTACCAATCGAATTAGATTTTCAAATTACTTATTAGATTTTCAGTGTTTGTTCGTAATCAGTTTGTCCTTATGATAAAAAAAGCCAGTGTTAGTGTCAGTCTAGTTAGATTATTCCAGCAGAACTGCAAACAATACTTAACATGATTGTTAAGTAATGTATAATTAATATAATTGCAAATTATACTCCTCTTTTATTATTCATAAAATACATATATAAAAAGGGCATCATAGTTAAAATTTTTTACAGAATTAAATCTCATAGATTACGTCAAATTTTTTGATCATGTCAAACCTACATCCCTAGGTACTAGACACGATATCCGAACTTTTTTCCCAGCTGAAATTCGATAGGAAAAATTTTTAAAGCCTAACCAGCAATTCTATCAAAACTTTTCTCTCCACATGTGACATCGTGTCGACGCAGAAGACCCACAGACAGAAGACCCAAGGACAGAAGAACCACAGACAAAAGACCCACAACTTTTTTGTTTTACTTTTTTTGTAAAAAATTTACTTTTTTTGTAAAATTGTTAGTTCTGTTTTCCTTAATAAGGAAAACAGAACAATCGGTAAGTTTGTTCCAACAACGGGGATGTTATTTTAACAATGGGGAATCTTATTGCAACAACGGGTGAAGATGTTCCAACGATGGGAATACTATTGTCCCAATTACCGAGGAGCTTGTTTAATGAAGAGGGATCTTGATTTCCTGGATTTTCGGGATTTTGTTCCATGTCGTGTAAAAAAATCAGATATAAAAAATAGTATAAAAATAACTAATTGGCCTTCCCAAATTCTCATAATTCACACCTGTGTCACTAAAAAAGTAGAAATCTGGCTTCTTGGTAGATCAAAGGGATATTTAAGATCAAGGGGTATTTAGGATTAACTGGATTATAGCGAGAGTTAGTTAAGTCCCATGGGAGGGGGGGGGGGGGATATAGAAGGATTATAAGCAATCAAGCGTATTGGAGTTATGCAAGTATATCGGGGATCATTGGAATAGTAGAGATAGTTAATTATTTCTGAGTAAATGGAGGGATATCGGTGGATATAAGCGGATTAGTGGAATTATACTTTAAATTCACTTAAATATCCGATTTATTGGTTAAGAAAGATATAGGAGTATTCCCTCTCCTAGTTCTTGTTACAGACAATCTACGGATAAGAATAGATATCGGTGGATTTGAGATCTTACTCCTATATTCTCAAGATCCCACGCTATTCCTGCATATCCCAATTAATCACCAGACTCTTCAAAGCACTGTCTAATTTAATGATCTAAATCGCACTCATCCATAAAATTTAACGGTAAAAATTTTATTGGTTAACTTTAGAATTAATTTTGTGCCTTGAAAAATTGCAAATCTCTTTCAGAAATTTCAAAAAAAAATTTTCTAAAGTTTTAGTTAAAAAATTTTCTTGTGGGTCTTTTGTCTGTGGGTATTCTGTCCTTGTGGGTCTTCTGTCTGTGGGTCTTTTGTCTGTGGTTCTTCTGTCCTTGGGTCTTCTGTCTGTGGGTCTTCTGTCACTACGCCATGTGACATCACTTATGCGGGATATACTAATCAAATCAAAAATTTTTATTTCAAAAATATTTTGCCTGCCTTTTCTTCTGCCGGAATTTTAGATTGTGTAATCGAAATGGCGTTGATAATTAATAATATTTTAAAGAAAATCATTAGAAATAATTAATTAGTTAATTATTTTTGTTAATTTTCGAAAATAAATCGAAAAATTATTTCAAAATTTATTAACGAATATATCTTCCCCGCATTATTTACATAAAATTAAGCGTGTAATCGATTATTACTCCTCCAAATAACTCATTCTTTTCAAAAAACCTGTCCGCAGAAACACAAACGCAAGATTTTAAAAATATCACAAATTTATTGTATTGACAAGAGGGCGAAAATATTAAGAGTTTTTATTGAAATTAGTTTTTGATATTTAATAAATTTTGGACAAATCATAACTCGAATCGTCCCTCTTTATTTCGAAATTATTTGTGAACTGTTTTTTAGGTGTTTTCCTAAAAAAGGAAAATGTGGAAGAAAACAGGAAGTAAAGTCAAATTCATTTGCTGAATTATCAGAATATGGCAGTATTGAATAACTGCAGGCACTCATTTTTGTACTTGAACTCGAATACCGTAGTACAAACAAAAATATAAACAAGATAAGACAAATCTAACAAACTGAGTTTTATCACAATAGAAATAATATGTACATTGTGTATATAGATAAGAATATGCCATCACCCTCACCCCCAATCCCACTATCCTTTAACACCTTAATCGGTGTTATCAGAGGATTTGGAATGATTTAGGAAATCAGGGGAGCAACCCGATCTAGACTTTTCTCGACCAGAAACCCAATACAGAAAAAATTTAAAAACCCGAACCAAACCCACCCTCACTTTTCTTGACACAAGAACCCCTATCGAAGAAACTACTTTTTCACAACTACTAAAAGCCAATCACAACATTATGAACTTAAAGGGCATATACATACCGTATATGCTCGAATAATTACCCTGGGTAATTATTGTTTCAACTTCTCGCTAGACGGGGTAATTATTTGAGAGGGGGTAATTATTTGAGCTTTTTTTAAACAGGCTAATTATAACTATTTTTAGGAGGGGTAATTATTTTTTCAACCTCTCGCTACATGGGGTAATTAATTGAGAGGGGGCAATTATTTGAGAGAGGGTAATTATTCGAGCATTTACGGTAAATACATTAAATGAATAAATAAATTTTGGAAAAACTGAAATTTTTAAAAATAAATGTCATGATATATGTAGTATATTTAAAAAGGATTTGAACCTGTCTCTTTAAAAATTTCGTTAATAAAGTTAGGTTTAAGTTGTGTGAGATAAATAATAACATGAGAACAGTTAATCTTTCAACGCTTAAAATTTATAAAAATTGTAACTTTTTTAAAGTTAAATTTTAATGAAAATTTAAGGGTTGATGTTTTTTAGTCTTGCTAACTTTTCTTTGAACGTTGCGTCTGTTACGAGCACCTCCACTAGTTTGTCTGGGATTAGCATGTCGTAATTTCTTTTTCTCATTTTTCTTTTTGTTTTTCCGCATATTCCATAGTGAACAGTTAATATCCACTGTTGGTGGCTGATTATATTTCTCGTTAAACCACTGATTGAAATCTCGGACTTCATTTACTCTTTTTCCATTATACGTTTTCTCGTTCAACCATTGTTCGAAACCTGGGCCTTTATTTGCTCTTTTACCAGTATAAGTTTGATCTCTTTTCTGCTTATCTTCTTTACCTTCTCTCACCTTTTCCTTATTTTTTTGCAAATTGAAAGACCATACGAAACACCCTTTGTTATCCACTTTATCCACTATTTTTGTGTTAGCACGAGGATGTAAAGAACTTTGCATGCTTTGTTGAGTATTACGATTTGAGCGATCCTTTAATAAACCTTGGCCTTTTTCATTGTACTTTTTATTTCCTATTTTTTCCTTTGTTTCTTTAATTACTGGCCATTGAATATTCGAATGATTATGGAAGGAAAAATCTTCATCATCACGGCTTATATCCTCACTGTCTTTATCTTTAATAAAAATGTATTTAAGCTTAAGATCATCAATAATTTGGGGAATTATGCGGGTTAAACATGAATAGAAACTGTCTAAATTAAAAGTTAATAATTTTATTGCAGTCAGGTAACATCTATTCCTTTCAAAAATATTATTGATAAACGAGGAGTATAACTCGATTTGATTTATATTGGCTTTTGTAAAAATTAATTAGACTAGAAAAAATCCTTCCAAATTCACAATTGCCGAAATCACCAAAATTCCAAGACTGGGATATTATGTAAATTATGTTCTTACCTTTCATTTGATGATTAGACACCTTCATCTTGTTCTCCGCCTCAATTTTCTTAATTGAAAAAGGAACAATTTCAGTATGCTAAAGTCAGATACTCTAATAAATCTTACTTTACCAAATACTCGGTAAACTACGTTGTATAGGAAATAAGAACTTGTAGATATTAGGGATTCAAGATAAATATTTTAGACATTTCATTTCGACAACAAATATTTTTTAAAGTGTTCTCAGCGGAGTATGATACATATCTACCTAATTTAGAAAGGCCGGTGCAAATACATCAATTTAATTATGAAATAATTAGATGATATTACTTACCTTATTGTCGAAGTATAAATTGTTTCCCATATTTGGAAATGGCTAAATTTAAAGATTATTATTAAAATAAAAATTTATATAAAAGATTGATCTGTCTTTTCATAAAAACCGTATAGCTGATTCCAGCTTAATAAAAATGTGAATAGAGATTTACATGAACAAGACAAATTCTTATAAATTAGTTTCACTATGTTTAATTTTACAAAAATTGTTTAATGCCCAATTATTTAACCCATCAACCTCCTTACTTTATCATCATATGTTTCATTGCTTGCTTCTGTTTTTAGCTGAGGGAATGTAAAATCCTTAATTTAGAAATAAAATTTTATAAAATTATTAATTAATAATAAATATGTATACTAAAACAACCAAAATTCTTGTGCCTTGATTTTGTAAGGAATGGATCACCTTAAAAACTTGAAGAGCCCCCACTGGTTGCGATTCACCTATTTGCTAAACTCTGTGTCCTTAAACATCAAATCCATAACGGGCAAGGGGAACGGGACCAACCACATTTACTAAATTGTTTCTTATAATATAATGTTTATTGTCAATTGTTTATTCTCGTTGAGCATTATAAAGGTTAAATTAGAATGAGGTATATATGTATTTAATCAACTTTCTTTAAAATAATAAATATAATTTTTATGAGATTAAAATTTTCGTCCCCCCCCCCCCCATAATTGAAACAATATCAATGTTTTCGACCACTCTCTGAGAATATCTGAACAAAAATCCCCAAATTTTGGGATCTGTAATAATGTTAATTTGGAATAAAGAATTGTCTAAAAATATAATCTGAAACTGTGCACGTGAACGCGGCTAATTAAATACTTCGCGACCTAATACTCGTTGTTTTAGAATTGAAATAAGCTGTATTTATAAATAAATGTTCAGTTACCACCTTATCATGATCATCTTTCATGGGAACATTAATATTACTAACTCCAGTATTTGCTGTTGTTTGTTCTTCTGGATAATTTTTCATCCAATCACTCAAAGTTAAAGATTTTTCCTAAATTTGTAAAGTTTTCAACTTTAAATTTAATCAGAAAAATTTGTTATATTTTTATTAAAATGAATATTTTATGTCAATTTTAACTTACAAGTTTTTTATCCTCGGTCGCATTATAAGAAAATCTTAGCAAAAAAATAAATAGAATAAAAATTAAGGGAAATGCCTGATGCATTTACCTATTTAAAGAATGACTGAAATTTTTAAAAATTTAATTTTGAAATTAAAGTTAATATTTATCTTTATAAGAAAAGTAAGGATTAAGTCAGATCAAACTGTCTAGTATTTAAAAACTAATACATGTTTGAGTCATAAATGTCGCAATTATAAAAAAATAATTTTTTCCAGAAAAATCAAAGGTTTATTATTCGAGGAATATCAAATCCATCAAATAGCTCATTATAATTAGATAATATATAGGGTAGGTCGGTCGTTTTTTGGGACCCGGTCAAAGTAAATAAATATTGGCCCATGACCATCTGTTAGCCATTTTTGATTGCCATAATGGATTTTCTATAATTGTTGGAAATTGACAAGCTAATATTTTAATGAATGTTACAAATCCAAGTGGCCTTTGTATTAAGGAACATTTTCTTGCAGAATCCAAACTCCTAAACCCGAAGAAAATTCAATATATAGAACTTAACGTGACAGACTTGTTTCAGACAGACAATTTTGCCTGAAACTGGATTTGAAAGTCCTAATAGAAACTTTACTTTTAACTAAATTTTTTTTATAAATCTTTTTAATTTTTATTAAAAATTAAATTTAAATTTATTTTAATTGATTTTAAAGCAGTTTTATTAACAATTTTATTTTAAAAATTTGCCATTTAAATAAAATCTCCTTCCTTCTCTCCCTATAAAGAATCAATTGTCTATAATGCATCCATTGTTTGTCTATAAACTATGGGAAGGCATCATAAGATGGAGAAGAAATATTCCTCCTGACTTTTTACACATGACTTCATAAACAACTTCCTTGTAGACAATTAAATTAATATGTCTGATGTTTAATGTTTAACTCCTAATTTATTTAAAATTAATTTATTTATTCAGCATTAAAGTTCTCGTTCAGATTATTAAATGTTCCTAAACTTGAGCTTAACTTAAATTTAATTGCAAAAATCCTTTTAAGTTGTGTCTTAGTTTAAAATCTTCGCTTGAAAGGATTTTCAAAAAAAATTTTTCCTTTTAAATTAAACTTTTAAAAAACTAAACAATTTTTATTTTTAAATTTTAAATAAATAATTAAGACAAAATATCAATTAAATCTAGAGCTCCACTAAAAGTGCAATATTAATTTTTTTATATAGCAGGAAAATTAATAAATAAAATGCTCCAAATAATTATAACTTCCCCCTAAATTTTTGAATTTTCTGACTTAAACTGACCCAATTTGACTGATTTTTATATAATATTAATTAATTAACACTGGTAACAAAGCTATTTAAATTCAGAAATATTTTAATGATTTATAAAAGGAATATTTTTGGAAATAAACAAACAATTAGGAAAGTTTTTGTTTTATACAGGTGAATTTCCCTTGGTTTTTAATATGAAACTAGTTTCTGATTAAATTTTCTTGTTTAACTCAATCTTTTTTTTTGAATTTTTATTTGTTTTTTCTCTATTTTATATTGTTTTACGTAACAAACATTGCATATATATTGTCCAGGATTTGAATGACGGCACCAACGTCGATTATGTTTAGCACCACAAATGCAACAAATTCTATCTGGTGTAATTCGCTAAAATAAAGCATTGAAACTTAGAAAAGGTTTATTACATCTAGAACACTTATGTATAGAGCCCGGATTTTTATGCAAATGCATATTTTTTTTGCAAACTTTTCATGATGTGTAATGCACAAAAAACACTGTTTCCGCATGTTTTGAAAACTTTAGAGGGGGTTTCTATTTGCATATAATGCATATTTTTGCATATTTCAGACTTTGGTGCATAAATGCATATTTTACTGCATATTTTGAGGTTTTTTGGGAAAATATCACGAAAATTGTCCAAAATTATGCCAAAAATGTAAATTTTATAAAAAATAGCAGTAAATGACATAATAGAAATTTGGCAAAATGTCTTTATTGCTTTTGTTGTTCGCATTTGCAGTTTTTTGTCGTCGTTTTTGTTTGTTATTTATTGATCGCTTAACTTTTTTATTTTAAAGTATTTTAAAGAAAGAAAGTCTTCAAAAATGCCTAAAATTCAGTCAAAATCTGTGTGGCTCCGTGAATGGATTAAAAGAATAGATGGTTCGGCCGTATACACAACTAATGCAAAAATAATTTATTGTCAAGCATGCCAACAACAGGTTTATTCGATAAACAACAGATATGGTAGTATTCAGGTTCCTTGTGAACGATATTCACAACTCACGCAACATCATGAATGTTGCGTGAGTTTTCTTACCAGAAAATATTGAAATGCTTTTAATTTGTTATTGTGAGAACAAATTTGAATCTTTTGACTAAAAAATTTAAAATTTATGGGTATAAATTATATTTTTCTTGCATATTTTCGTGCATATTTTTATTTTTTTGCATATTTTAGTGCATATTTTGGTGTTTTTTTATGCATATTATAGTGCATATTTTGCATTTTTTAATGCATAAAAATCCGGGCTCTACTTATGTAATACATATTGTATTACATACTATATTCATACTGTGGAAAAATTGTTTGAATGGGAGATGGAATGGAACCATCATGGAATGAGCCCAGACCGAAGCACAACCGACTGTGCCACCATCAAACCCGATGATGGGTTACTTATTTTCATTTATGTTTTTTCTGCAAGTACGGACACAACATATTGTAAAGCATATAGCTATTTATTTCCTAAGGCTGTGCAGTAGGCGGCGTTGTGTAATGTGATAACCCATCAGTCCGGTCTACCGAAGATTCTGGTTCGCACCCAGCCGCCAATTAACCTTTTGCACTAGCTAAAGGAGAGAAATAGCTATAGCCCAGCTGCTTTACTTTATTTTATAATTTTAGTTACCATATAAATTTACCAAAATATAATTTTTAGAGGAAGGTGAAATGATGGTTTTTCACAGTGTTTTGTTAGTTCGAGGAGAACACTTTATCTCTTATTTGTATTTAATAAATAGGAAACCATAAAATATTAGGAATTTATTTAGGTTGATTATTTGAAGATTTTACAGTAAATAAATTATAAACAACACCTTATTAGTTCTAAACCAAAGTTCTTTCGGTCTATGCTTTCCATTATTTTTCGGATAATAGAAGTACATACCACAAGGATTACATAAAAATTGTTCTTTAAGGTATTTATAATATTTATTATTTTCTGTAGATCCACAATTCAAACAATGGCACTTTTTTCTTTCATTAATTTTGGCTATAATTTAAATATAGGAGGGATAATGCTAAAAATTTATTTACTTATTTTATTGCCAATGTAAATAATTCTGCTTTTTTCTTTCAAATATTCAACTTTTTGTTTTTCTAACAATTCAATTTTATATCCAATTAAATTAATTTCCTTCCAATAACTTGATAAAATTTTCTTTTTATAATTTTCAATGTTTTCTAGTAACATTTCTTTTTTATTTATTTTTATATTTTCTAAACTTTCATCCAATATAGAGGTCTCATAATAACTTTTATTTTTATTAAAATTATTCTTTAAGAGTGCCTTAAATTTATGATTCTAATTTAAGCTTTTATTTATAACGTATTTCTTCTAATAGTGCGACTGTCTCTATTAGACCAACACCTAATAAACCGACCCATAGTGGAAGGTTGAAAAATAAACCGACTGGTCGCACTATTAGAAGAAATACTATAGCTATATCAAAGTATTTTTAAAAACGGGACTACACAAAAATCTACTATTTTTTACTCTAATATTTTTTGTTTTGTTAATAAAATCGTAAATACCTGTTTTTCAATTCTATTCAAAAAATTTTTGATAATTTTATTTTTGGCAATTTCAATCAAAATTTTTCTTTTTAGTTGCCACTTATATGCTGACTGGTTATTTACCATAGCAGTAAAAGCATTTGTATCGGGATTTACTTCAAGTTTGCGATACGATCTAGTTTTATTATAGGGATAATTTTCAATTCTATTTTTTTGTTTAACATTCATTATCATTACAAAACGTTCCTTTATTTCAACATTTTTTAAATAAATAAATTCTCGATTTTCTTCCCAATCATCCTTGATTTTAAGTTGAACATTTTTGCCTTCACAATTAAATTTAAATAAAATAAACAAATGCAAAATAATTATAATAATTAATTTACTCATCTGAAATTTTAATATTTATTAAAAATATTGTTTATTTACAGACTTCGCATAGTTTTTATTTTATTTATATTTGTGTCTAAATTGATAGAAACAGCGAGAGTTTATTATATTCTCTCTATACGAACTCTTTACGAATTAAAAAGGTTAAAAATGATTAGAAAAGGTCATTTCTATGTTAATGAAATTTAGATGGCTTATGTAGTAATAAATAAGGTATAAAATGGTATAAATTTATCATAATCCTTGACAAGCATTTGATTAAAAGTGCAAATATATGTAAAAAAGACGGCAAAATTTTGAACTTTCTTTAATGTTTTTTAAGAAATATAGTGCAATTGAATAAATTTGAAAAATATTTTTTTCTAAAGCTAAAAATCACATGAATATTATTTTATTTTTGTATTTTTTCATACAAAAGGCTCCTTTTATTTACCTTTTTTTAAATGAAAATTGGCTGATGTTGAAGTTTTTTAATAAAATGACAATAAGGATTTTGACTTTTTGGAGGTTTGTTTCTGTTTGGATTTTTGTTGTTCTTCAATAGATTTTTCCGTACCTGTAATACCGAAAAGTATTAGTCCAGCAAAAGAAGTACCGCAATAGTGCCGAAACGCGTCAAACACTAATTTGAAAAAGCTCGGGAGGCTAAACATTTAAAATGTCCTTGGCCGCAGTCCTATTTCTTACACAAGTGAAAATTTTGGGTTTGAAAAATTTCGAAATAAATAACATTTATAAAAGTTTTATGAAATTTATTTTTATCTAATCGTGTCTAATTTGTTTCGAAATAAACGAATAAGTTAAGGAAAAGCTCAGATTAAAGCAAAAAAAGGTAAAAAACTACAAATAAATAATATTAAAAATAAATAGTAAAAAGTTTAATCAACTAGACTTTTTCTCTTAATTTAATAAAAAAAATAAATTTTATAGAATAACATCCTTCTTTCGCAGGCTCAATTTAAACTAAAAAAAAATATTTTTTTACATTTTTTAAATAAAAAGTTAAGTTTGTGTTACCCTTCTTTTTCTTATTTCCCAAAATTCCCTCTTTTTACGATCACAAAGGTTTAATTTTTTTACATAAAATGTGGCAAGCGATGGCTCAGACGTTTCATTTCTTTAAAAATGGAACAACTTCAAAAATTAAAACTTCTCATCTACATATAAATCTTCGTTTAATTTTGATGAATGGCTTGAGAATCTTGGATTTCTTCACGAGAAACGAACTTGCCACAATTGTGGCGGTAGAATTCGTAACAGATTTTCTGTTTTTTATTTTGTTTTTTAAAGGTCGCAGATATGGAATGTGGAAAAGGGAAAACATTAAAGTTGGAAGTCTGACCATTATGTACATTATTAAGAAAAAAAGTGGTAACACAAACTTAACTATTACATAAATTTATTCTAAAACAGGGCTCTCATCGACAAAATACCACTCAAAAGTATCAAAATCTCGATAAAAAAGTATATAGGGAGAAAATTTGCGAAAAAAAAGTAGTCTCAAAATTAAATTAGAAAATATTTATTCGTCCTCAAATCTTTCATATTTCTCTCGTAAATGAATCTTTTCTAATAATTTCTTGTTTCAACTGAGCATTTTGTCAATTTTAATGGACCTTTTGTGGCGCCGAAGGCGCCAAAAAATCTATTTTCTGCGCCGCAGGCGAAAATTTTGAGAATTTTGGAGGTCCTTAAGCCAGATTTCTTCCATTTTTTGCGCCGCAGGCGAAAATTTTGAGAATTTTAGAAGCCGTAGGCCAGAAAATTCACTTTTTTGCCCGATCCCTTCCTTAATTTCATTTTCAATCAAAAAAAAGTATATACTTTCAAAAAAGTATAAATTCAATTTCGTAAGTAGGGAGGTCGATTTAAAAGTAGAATACTTTTAAAAAAGTATAAATGAGAGCCCTGTTCTAAAACAAACAGTAAAATGATCGGCATGTGTAACTGTTCCAAAATTTCTGTTTAATGAAGGGATCACTCCATCTGTTAAATTAATACATAATTTAAATTAGTACACTGCATTCAAAAATTTATATACGCACCCCTAATTCTTAAGTCCCTAACTTATTTTCCTTTATTATTTAAATCATACATCCTCATCTCATTTCGCTTATTACCCCCAAAAATTATGCGCACCTTTCTTAAAATTTTTATTTGCTAAAATTTAAGCAAATTGGTATAAAAAATAATTTAAGGGGTTTTCAATTTCCTTATTTAATTGAAACAATTGATAAAATGTTTAATGAAAATAACAAAGGAAAATAGGTAATATGTTTATAAAACATTTAAAAAACTAGGGGTGCTTATCATTTTGGAATCCGAAAATTTAAGCTATTAATTTAGCACTAAAAGTAGAGTGCGTCCGAGTACGAGTAATTTGGAAAAACCCGAGTACGAGTAAAGCCGGGTATGAAAAGTCCGGGTACGAGTACGAGTTTCAATTTTTAGGCCGAGTACGAGTACGAGTAAATCGAGTAATCGAGTAATTTTTATAAAACAGTATTGTAAAATAATTTTAATAAAAACAATACTTTTATTCACCATAAATGCTGGGTATTGGGCATTTGTTGACACTGATGCAGGGGATCATCATACAAATACAAGTTATATTCGTTAATCCTCCGATATCCCTCTTAATCCGCCGAAATTCCATGATATCGTCCAATTTTATGTTAAAAATCAATGGATAATATAATTTCGGGGGATTTGTGTAGGTTATGCGGATATAAGTGATAACAGAGGAATGAGATGGATATCAAGGGATTAAGCGGGATTTGGGCTGATTATAGGGATTTGGGTGTATTAAGAGCAAAATCTGGGAAATTCGAGAGATTTTGGGATATTATTGGATTAGGTATGTCGTCGAAAGGTAATCACGAGATCCGTAGCTCTATCCCTCTTTTTCCGCTCCGCTGGTTTAAATTTTGAGAATTTCTGAAGGCGAAGAGGAACAACCAAGTTTCGGAAGGCCAGATCCTTCTCTTGAAATATCCGACTATAACTAAAATCCGCCCAAGTCAATTCACATCCTCCAATATACACATAAGTCTTCGTTTTCAGCGCCACAGGCGAAAATTTTGAGAATTTTCGAAGGCCAAGTTGCAAAATTTCTTCCCTTTTCAGCGCCGCAGGCGAAAATTTTGAGAATTTTGGGAGGCCAAGGACAGAATTTCTTCCTTTTTCAGCGCTGCAGGCGAAAATTTTGGGAAATTTGGAAGATCCTTAAGCCAAAAATCTTCCTTATTGCGCTGCAGATAGGGGCATAAAAATACTCGGTTTTAACCGAGTACGTCGAGTATGAAGTTTCCGAGTACGAGTAATGCCGGGTACTAAGACCCCGAGTATCGAGTACGAGTAAAGTTGTATAAAAGCCGAGAGATCGAGTCGGGTATACTCGTACTCGACCCGACTCGGACGTACTCTAACTAAAAGTAACAAAATTTTATTTTACCCACGTTCTGAAACTAAAGTTTCCGGTACTCTTTTTATGGGATAATTTTAGACTTTTACTTAAAATAGTTCGGAATGATTCTTATATAATTTGTCACCTGTAGTTTCAAAATGAAAGTTTTGTAGCAAAGCAGCTAGAATTAAATATATTTCCATTTTAGCGAGTGAATCGCCTAGGCATATCCCTATTAATAAATTACAAAATAATAAATTTTTAAGATAATTTATAAATTCAAAAATTCACTTTTTCCAACTCCAAAAGGTTTTATCAATTCCGATCCTTTGTAATTTCCCTCAGAATCCAAAAATCGCTCTGGACGAAACACTTCTGGCTGTGGGAATAGTGATGGGTCTAAATGGACAGCTCCCAGTTGTACCATAACTGTGGTGTCTTTGGGTATAATCCACTCACCCAACTTTACCTAAAAATTTATTTAGATTTCTCTTACTAAAAAATAAAAAAACTCGCTTCTTTGCTAACAGAATGTGGGACAGTAAAAGGCAACACATTAGCTACTCTTTGGAGTTCATCAACAAAAGCACGTAAATAAGGTAAATTATTTTGGTCTCTAAAGTGAAAAGGTTGATCACACAAATGTCTATCTATCTCGTCTTGTAATCTACGAGATATTTATTTTTTAAAATTAATTTTTATTTCCAAACTTTAATTGAATATCTGGATAATTCAACAAATAAACAATCGCCCAGGTCATTGTAGCAGCCACAGTTTCAATACCAGCGGCCCACAAATCTCCCGAACAAATTCCCATTGTTTGGCGTCTAAAACATTCTGTTAATGAAAGATATTCAAAAATTCAAAGAATTACAATGCCGGGTCCTCTATATGTTGACCCTCTGCTATAGCAGCCTGAAGATATGCTTCAATAAAGCATTCAGGCTCTTCCATCTCAGATTCTTTTAATTGTTTAGATTCTTTTATTTTATCAAGATGTATATCTACTTCCTTTAGAAAAAAACGTTGGAGTTCAAATCCTTGACGAACATATCGCCAATAAGCTGGGAATAATGCGCGAGTCCACGGACAAGAATTAACAATAAGCATTTGAACAGTAGCTACCTTTTTAAGGAATATTTATAATATGCAAATTTGCTTTAAAAATTTATTAGTTAGTAGGTTGCACATATTTTTTTATTTCTTTACAAGTTTAATAAGGAATCTAAGGGTATTAAGTGGGATGTGGCTGGATTAAAGGGGATATCGTTTGATTTAAAAGGATTAAAGGGGGATATCACTGGAAATCAACTTGAGCTCAAAATTCCAGATTCTTGGGGCCCAACTTTGCAGTGATTCAACACCATTAATACTGTCCTTAGAATAGTCCTACATCACGCATAATTTTCTCAAATCCTTTACTAAAATACTCAAAAGTTTCGCCTGCGGCGCTGAGACAAAGTTAAACCCCATTTATCTTTGGATTTATTAACTTATAAAATTTTCAACCTAATTAAACATAGATAAAATATTTTGGTGCATTTATAATTATGAAACAGAGCGTATGTTACCTCTTTAATAGTATTATCAATTAATTGCTTAAGGTGAACAAATTCCTTAAAATATTTCAAATTATATAAATTAATAAATGTAAATACTGGATGATTATATTCTGTATAATATCTACCAAAAAGCAAATTTTGGGTTATATTTCCAAAACAAAAATCGAATTGTTGAGCAATATCCACAACTATTCCATTTTTCTATAAAATTTCATTTAAAATAATATTTTTAAAAAATAATTTATTTATTACATTTTTTATAATTTCCGTTAGTCGTAAAATCAAAGCATTTTTGTGGACATTAATTCGATTTTCCATTTCTGAACGTCCCATACCCAATTTTCGAAGGGCTGCCATTGCTGCAGATCTGTTCTTTTTCCATACCTGTTGTCTTGATAAAACAATTCCTTAATAGATTTTTGAATAATTTTCCGGAAAAGATAGTTCCGGAAACTTTTTTAGTGTATTCGATGGGGGAGGGGGCTGGGGTGGTCTCTAGTTACTATTACCTATTTTCTCTTCTGGAATATAATTCTTAATTTATTTATTTTAAAAAGAATTTTTCCAAAGATACAAAAAAAATCTACCATCTCCGTCAGGTAAAAAATTATTGAAAACGCCATAACTATAGGAAAATGTTGGTCTGTCAGAGAAAATGTCAGCTGTAAATTGATATTTTTAATTGAATTTTTAAAATAAATAAACACCATAATTAGAGTTAACTAAAAGATCTTGCATTTGTTTATGTCCAGCAATGACCAAATAAGGTGTTGGTAGCCAAACTATTTTTTAATTGAATATAATTATATTTGTAAAAATTCAATTGTTCTTTCCACTAGTTGTTATTTAAACAAATCTAGACCTCTACATAGTACATTCTATGCCAAAAATAAAACATCCCCCAGTTTTTTCAGATAATTTATCTTTATTCTTCACCGTCCAGGTATGACCTTCGCATATGATCTAGCCCAATAAAAAATGATTGGTGGATAATTGCATGAAAGATTTATGAAATAGTCGTCAATATGAGATCATTGCGCAATTAAAAAGCAATTCGGGTGATTTGAAGGGAATGTTATATTTATTAAACAGATGTATTTAATTAAAACCTGGCCTAAATTAAATTTTTACCTGTATAAATCGGCCCATAACGTTGTTTCCAATAAACAAAAGAACGATGTGGATAACGTAAATCAAGCTATAATATATGTAGTATTATAAAATAGAGAATAAATTTTCAAGTATAATAAATATTTTGTGTGTTCAGTAGCTGTCATGCCGGGTTATTCCTTAACTGAAATTGGGGTTTTCTTCATATTACCCCTAATTATTTACAAATCGGGATATTTTCATCGTATCCACTTGGAGGCCGATATTAGTTAAAATCCTAAATGATGTTTTCGGATTCGGAAATTAAGTATTTGGATTTTTAAAATTCAAATTAAAAACCTTCGCAAAATTCCCAATCAGTGGAAAATGAAAAGGACCAGGTGGCATTTTACCCGCATTATTAAATCCGTTAAATAATCTCCATATTAATATAGCTAAAATTATTGTTGAAAGAGAATAAAAAATAAAAATGGAAGGAAGAAATAAAATCATTCTAGAAAAAGAAAATATAAAAAAATTTAAAAAAATTTAAATCAAACTAAATATACAAATCTCTGTTCCAATAGATAATAAAATAATAATTAGGTACAGTAGTCGACAAAAAGATAGGGACAAACGCAAGTGAAATGGAAATCACCTATTTTCTCACCTAAAAATCGATTTCAGGAAAAATTTTTTGTTTGATTAAATACGCCATTCAATCCTCTATTTAATGAGTATAAGATCTGGCGTATTATTATTTTTTGATATACTGAAATAATTGAAATAAAAAAGTACTGCAAATTTTAGCCCGACAAAAAGATAGGGACAAGTCTTGTAACTTATTAGTCACCCAACCAATAAATCTACAAAAATTCGTGCAAACATACTTATCGATACTAAGATAAAATAAAAAAGAACTAGGCCAATATCTCATTTCAATGTCGAGATCTCGATACCCCAAAAATCAACGTAAAACAGGGGTAAGCATCTTCAGAAAATATTTTCGACCCCTTATGGATTTTTTGGAATTTTTATTTTGAGCCTATTCGATAGCTCTTGAAATTTGCTATAAACAAGCCGAATTTCATTTCTCAGAAAAAAATATTTCGTTAGCTGTAGAGGCTAATGTCACAAAAAACAACAAGCGCCCCATAAATTCCTTCATAAACAGCGTTTTGGAGAATCGTCGTCCTTTAACTCTGGAGTGAAATTTTTTTGAAAAATGAAATTTGGCTAGTTTATAGCAAATTTCATGGGCTATCGATTGAGCCTAAAATGAAAAAAATAAAACAATCAATAAGGCGTTGAAAAAAATTTTGAAGTTGCTTACCCCTGTTTTACGTTGATTTTTGGGGTATCGGGATCTTGACAACCAAATGAGATATGGACCTAGTTCTTTTTTATTTCAACTTAGTATCAATCAATATGCTTATACAAATTTTTTCAGATTTTTTGCTTTTATGAAAACTTAGTTACAAGACTTGTCCCTATCTTTTTGTCGCGCTTAAAATAGCATACCTTTTGTTTTTCAATATGGGTTGGATTTCATAAAATATTAATCAGGCAAATTTTCTACTTATTAAATAGAGGATTGAATGGCGTATTTAATCAAACAAAAAATTTTTCCTGAAATCGATTTTTAGGTGAGAAAATAGGTGATTTCCATTTCACTTGCGTTTGTCCCTATCTTTTTGTCGACTACTGTATATCTTTTTTTAAACGACTGAAGGTTATCAAATATTAGATCAATTCTAATATTAATAATTAGAGGTTATTAACATTAGATTGATCTTTATTTATCATCTTTTTTTAGTCTTGTCTTATAAAAAATATAGTTGCGACACAATGGCCATGATGACTGATTGAATGGTTGACAATGAAGGACTCTCAATATTTTTTAGTTTTTCTAGGGTGGTTTTTCTAATTTATAAAAATTAGAAGCAAAAGGTTAAACATTATATGTAATTTAAAATAAATTTTAAAATTAAAAATCTAAAATTAAATTTTATCAAAAAATAAAAGAGGAGCGTAATTTGTGTTACTAACAACTTTTTTCACTCGATTTATTTTCAATTTTAACAATCTCTCAATTTTTTTCATTTTTCCCTTCCCTCAAATAAATGATTGAGTTTTGTGTGTTTATGAGTGTTCAAAATAAATTTATTGAGTGTTCAAAGAGAAACTTTCAATTTTATTTTATTTTCGTCTGCCCCTTTAATGCTCAAAATGTGTGGTGAATCAATCAGTTACAGAAAATAATAAAAAAAAAGATTTAAAATAAAGTAAAAGTTTATGACAGACAAAATTAAAGGGCTTTGATTTTTTGGCAAAATTTTGGCTGTTTTGACGAGGATCACGGGTAACTAAAACGGGTACAACAGGGGCTGGAAATGCTAATAATATGTATCTTCCAAAATGCACATCAAGGAACAATTCCTTCAACTGAGCTCACAGCTTATTGCCAGAAACATAACGTTCGATATAAAGCTTAAAACTTTTCTTCTCTATATATTGGAAAGATGTGAAGAAACAACTATCCTTCATGTCGGCAAGCTCTACTTATCAGCAGAAATATTTTGGAAGCAACAAAATTAGTTATTTTTAAATTTCAACTTTTTTTGAGTTTATTCTAATACTATAAATAAGCAATAATTTATTTCAATATTTCACTAATTTGTGGCATTTTTGCCAACAATTTGCCAATATATTGCGATATCTTATGGCATTATTTTGTGATTTTATTTCAATAAATCTTAATTATTAATAATTAGAACTTAAACTGATTGACGACAGCATTTTTTAGTTACTTGCAAAAGTACATAAGTGCTTAGAAAATGAAAATATTTTTCTAATTTAAAAGTGAACCAAGCAATTAAAAATCTCACGATTTGTTTGTGCCAAAAAATTTTTAACGTAAATACATAGACAATTTTCTCAAAAATATTTTTTGTATTTTAGACAGTAAATTAATATTTTCATATTTTGATGAGAACTTTTTAATGGAGTTTTGCCATTAATTTTGAGAAATAAAAATTTTAACTTTCAAAAAAATGTCATTGGATTTACTTGATATTTTATTTAATTTTGATTATTTTGTTTGTATATTAATTGTTTTCCTTTAAATATTATTCTGATTATTTTAATCATTTTCAAAACGCCGAAAGAAATGAAAACACACAGTCGAATTCTGTTACAAAATTGTGTTTTGGATATTTTAATGTTAACTGTTCAATTGTTTGTTGAGGGGGTAATTAAAGACAGAAAATAAAGTTAAAATTTTAATTAGTTTTTAGTTTCATTTATTTGATAATGAAGTGAATACATATATATTTCCCAATGGAATTTTGCTTAGTTTTTTTATAAAAGAAAATTTTGATCCATTTATAGCTTATATTTTTCTAGTGTTTTGGGAATATATTCTTAATTTAAATTTGTTTGGATTGTGTGTTCAATTTATTTATAGATATTTAGTTTTGAACAGGTATATGTATAAAATGCTGTATATTCTTAATAGAGCTCCCGAGAGTTTATATAATAAGAACTCGCGTGAGTTATCAACTCTCCTCGAAAGGAGACCCAAATTTCTTCCTTTTCCAGTGCCGGAGGCGAAAATTTTAAGAATTTTGGAAGGCCAAGAAGCCAGATTTCTTCCATTTTGGAAATACAATAACAAATCTAAAAAAATTCAATTCTTAGGGGTGCAAGTTTAGAAAAGACCAAAAAAGTCGAGACCAAGATTTCACCCGAGACCAGATCGAAAAAATCCAAGTCTTACAATAAAGATTAAGAGTCTCACTCTCTACTATTTTTCAACTCTCCTCGAGAGGGGAGTATTATTTAAGATCGAAGTTCTCTAATTCAAGGGGGAGTACAATTATAGGATAAACGATAATATGTATTAAAAATATCTCTCTAAACTTTAAAAGGAATATGAAAATTAATTATCGTCATTATTTGTATATGGCATCAATAGCTTTAGTTGTAACTTTATTTTTTTCTTTAAATTTGGTTTTGTTTATTATTCCATATTCTAATGGGGGTATTAAACATTTTGATAATTTTAACAAAACTTGGCCGTTTTTTCAATGTAAAATGGAAACGGTGATTTTTAAATAAATAATATTTTTTAAATATTTTGTTAAAAAATATGTAGGTGAATATTTTTTCACTTTTACCGACAGCTTTTGGTGAAATATTTTCATATTTAATAATAATTGTTTGCGGATTTAAAATGATTAGATATGTCAATTTGAACAATAATTTAGATGGAAATTTAAAAAGATTAAATAAACTTTTAACAAAAGTTTTGATTATTTTGGCAAGTTTTTTGCTTGAAATTTAGATTAAGAGAATTTTTTTTAATTTATAGGCTATTGTACCTTTTATCATCCAAACAGGAAACGTATTCCTCATGATTAATTCAAAAACAACCAACAATACAATGAACATAATCAGAATATTAATTTTCATTTCTTATCATTTAATCCCTGTATTTAACCCAATTATTTGTATTTTAACAAACACACCATATCGAGATGCCGTTTTTAATTGAGCGCAAATAAATCCACAATAAATATAAAAATATTTTTTGATAAAAATTTGAAATATATCAACTTTCTAATAAATTTTATTAAATCTTTTTTCCCTCTTCAACTCCTTTATCTCAATTTTCTTTAGTTCCTCTTAGATTATCAAATGATTGGATAATAAGAAAAGTACGGCCATAACTAAGAGGATGTTACCTATTTAAACCTAGTTTGGAGTTTGAAACTGAGTTGGGATGTAAATTTCTTTAATATTTTATTTATTTTTGTCAACTGTTTTAGATACTTCAAGTTAAAATATGATTTTGTAAGGAAGAGAAAGATCCAGCTGGAAGAGAAAGATCCAACGCTCACTAGGCGGGGGTTTAAAATACCTATATTAAAGGAGAAGGTGAAAGCATCGTCACGGTAGCTCAGTCGGTAGACTGAGCGAAAGCGCCTAGCTGATGCGCCTAGTTGAGCGAAAGCGCCTAGCAATAACTGCCAGGAGTCGAAGGATCGAAGCCTGCCCGGGATTAAACTTTTATCTCGTTCTTACTATTTTTATGGAAAATATATTTTAATTTTTTAAAGTTTTTCTAATTAAAAAAAAAAGATTTTAATTTTACATATTTTAAAATTCATTATAAAAATCATTAAAATTTCCATTCAAAAACCAAAGTTTATTTTAAAATTTATTTTCATTTCATCACATGCCTCAACTCTAAACGCAACAAAATTAAATTTATCCACGTAAATAAATGGATTTTTATTTAAAAATTTTTACACCTGCCAGAAAATTTAATTTAAATTTTATTTAATTAAAAGAATTCCTTTTAAAATATTTTATTTAAAGTTGATTCTCCAATAAAGTTGAATTTGAATAATTTTAATAAATTAATTATTTACTTAATTATAAACACGTAAATTTCAATGATATACTTATATATCCAACTCACTTAATTTATACGGCTAAATAAGTTTTTATCTTCCTTTTATTCTTAAACGCTTCCAATCATCAGGATAACGCATTTCCTTCCTTATGTTTTTAACTCTTTCAACTAGTACGGCTCATATTAGTACTGCCCAATTTTTACACCTGCCGGAAAATTTAAATTAAATTTTATTTAATTAAAAATTAATCCTTTTAAAATATCCAACTCACTTAATTATTCATTAATATTAAAATTTTTAACCCTCTAAATATCAGTACTGCCCCCGTTTAAAAATATAAAAAATAGTAATAATCTGTCAAAATTTATCATACTCCCTATAATAGATAAATTCAGTTTAGGCTTACTTTGAGCGACATGTTTATCTATGTACCTCTTTAAGACAATTCAGGAAATTAAGGATGGGATGAGACTGATCCAGAGATCTCTACAATGTTAGGTTGCTAACTGATCGACATCACACCATTTTTACTTTTTTTGGCTAGGCTGGGAGAAACCTAGACGGCTTTACATACATAACAAAGATTTATATTCATTATACAACATTGTCCTATTTATTTATCGGACAAAGTTGTCCAATGTCCGAATTTATTTATTTTTAAATTCAATTAAACAGAAAATGCAAATTTATTTATTTATAATTTTTTCGTTTTTATTCCAATTTGGAATTTGTCAATTTGATAGAGTTGATCTTTCTGATAATAAAGGTTGAGTATTTTATTTTTAAAAGCAATATTAAATTGGTCTCTATTTTGGCACATTTTAATTCCTGATAGTTATGATTGATGCCTAAAAATTTTAATTTTGACTATAGCTAAACAAAATACATAATATAAATAATCTAACAGATGAACAACCCAATTATCAGTTTCTAACAAAAAAAAACTTTGAAGAACCCTAGCTCAACTTTAAAAACTAAAGAAAATCTATAGATTGTTGGAACTCATAAATTAAACTAAAATCCAAAAAAAATAATTAAAGGTAGATTTATTCGTCCTTGTTATTTCACAAATTGGGCAATATATAGAAGTGGTCGTGCAAAATTCGCTCCAGAGGATTATGCACCGGGGCTCTGCACACATATATTTTATGCTTTTGCTTATTTTAATGAAAGCTTTGAAGCATAGTGAGAGGAAAAATTTTTAAATTTAAAATATAATAATTTGAACTTAAGCGCAATTGATCCTAACGATTTACCAAATGACTCAGATCCTTTGGGACAATATGCTCGAGTTGTCGCCTTAAAGGTAGAAATGTTAAATTTTAGAAAATCAAGAAAAAGGTCAAACAAGCATTCAATTGATCACTTCTTATAAAACAGGCCCAGAAGGTCCAGTGCTAAATGCCTAACCGGTGCTAAACGTTTATCTCTTTCACTATGATACACGGAAAGAATTATGAAAATTTTAGGCCAGAGAAAGGATAGCATGGGGCCCAACTGGGAATTTTTTTCCAACTTCTATCACGAACTTTAGTTCACAATCATTAACCAATGGTCTACTTGTTTTCTCGGCAAGTCTGAAACATGCCAAAAATTACTGATACATTTTATTAATTTTATTAATAAGGAATAATATTAAATAATCTACCTAAATTATTTAAGAAATATGATCCAAACCTTAAATTTGTTATGTCATTTGGAGGTTGGACTTTTAGCACAACTACCACACTCTTTCAAAATATGACTTCAAGGTGCTTATAAAAGATGTTTAAATTAAAAGTAAATTTTTTGAAGCAAACAGAATCGAGAAAAGTTTATCAAATCGTCAATTGCTTTTGTTAGGAAACATGGTTTTGATGGAATAGACTTAGATAACGAATATCCAGATTCAAAAGAAAATTTTAATTTACTTTTGCAGGTAAAAAGGAAAAATTAAATGATTCAATTAAATAAATGCAACAACTTTTTAACATTTAGCAATCTTTCAGGAATTTCATTTGGCATCTTGTAATGAAAAGAATGTAAAAAATAAGTTAATAATTACTGCAGCAGTTGCAGCTGGAATTGATATTGTAAAAAAATCTTATGACATAGCAACGATGGCAAAGTTATTTATTAAATTATTACAGATTTATTTATTAAATAACCCATTCCTCCTTAAACGTTTTTCAATCTTCTAATACTAGGGCTTAATTCAATAGCCCATGTTTGTCGCTCAAACATTGAAAGTTCGAGTAATTCATGTTGGGACCACTTTATAATTCCAACATAGTCCAATACCGCCCAAGTACAATACAGCCCGAGTTGTTAACGCTAGTATAATAATATAAATAAACTCTTAAATGTAAAATTTCTTTCAAGATACGTTGATTTCATCAATCTTATGACTTATGACTTCCATATAACTTCTGAGAACAAAACAGGATACAACTCTCCTTTAAGAACTAATGACTCTTTGAATATTGTAAGAGACAGTTTAATATGCCGAACTACACTACAAGATACCTAACCGCAATATTTAATATACCTCTCATTATAACACAAAATTTTAGCCCCAATATATATCTAACAATAAAGTCTGACTATATTTTTTTATTAAATTTTCAATATTGGATAATTTAATCTCTATATCTAGATCGATGCTGCAAATTATTGGGTTCGCGGTGGAATGCCCAGAAATAAAATAATTATTGGATTTCCTACTTATGGTGAATCTAAATTAAAATAAAAATCGGTCTAAACATATAATTTAGCGCATGGATTCAAATTGGCAAATCCCAATAGCAAGGACCTAAGTGTTGGTGCCCCCGCATCAGGTCCTGCTAATGCGACAGAATTTGCTCAAGAACCTGGAGTTGCAGCTTATTTTGAGGTGAGAATTTATAATTAAATGTCGCCACATTGGAGAAGTATGAGTCCCATCCCTGTTGATCTTACATTGTCTTATTTCATTTTTTTTCTTAATCAAAAATATTTTTTTCAAATTTTTCAAGATTTGCGAAATGCTAGCAAAGGGTGCCAAGGATTTTTATGATCCAAATGCTCTAGTTCCTTATCTCTATCAAAATGGTGAATGGTTTAGCTATGACAATCAGCAAAGCTACTTACAAAAAATAAAATGGTTGAGTAGCCAAGGATTTGGAGGGGCTTTTGTTTGGGCCTTGGATTTTGATGATTTTAATGGAAAATGTTCGGGAAGTAAATATGGTAATATTTAAAATACAAGTTAAGGCAGTGGAAGAATAATAGGAAGCGGTTATTTGTTAATTAGTCGGTAGTCAGCTAAAAGAAGCTGAGTATCACCTATCACGGGAGATTTTATTTCATTAGCGATCAGCATAACACATTTATAAAAATGCTTTCCCTCTAGTACTACCTCTAAACTCGAACGAAATTTATCAGGTTAAGCAATATTCTATCCCGGTCCAGAATAAATTAAAGTATTCACACAATAACCAATCGCTGTAAATATTGTTACTCCAATTAAATATTTTAATTTTAAATTTTTAGGCATTTATCCATTAATTGGAACTATTGCCAAATTATTGGGTCAAGTTAAACATGAATTGGTTTCAGTTTTGGAAATTATGAAGGTAAAATAAATAAGAATTTTTTATTCTGAAAACTCAGTTAAGATAGTATTTACATTCTAATTTTTATTTAATTAGCGAGCGACTTCAACCAAGAAGCCTTAAATTAATAAATGATGATTTTAAAAGAAAATAATCGAAGTAAAGAAAATTTGGGTAATAATATAAATTATTTATTTCCTTTTTCAGTTAAAATCCCTTTATTTTTAATTAAATTACCTAATATTCTTTCATTTTTCCCTATTATATTTAAATAAACTTCCTGCCTTTCACCCTTTATCAACTACTATTAATATTTCTTCTTCAAATGGTAAACTTTGTGTGTTCTTTAAATTTATTTAAAAAATTAATTTAAAAATTAAATTTAAAAAAATTTTTACACTTTTGGCCACTTGGATTTTATGACCACTATTTACATACCTATTTAAATTTCGGATAAAGTTTATGTCTTCACTAGAGACCGAGGGATTAAAGTAAGGTACACCCTGTCCCCCGAAACCGATCCTCGACGAATTTTCAGGCAAAAACCCCGATCCGAACCCCGAAGGCTCTATCTCGACAAACCTCGAAACCCGACACTCCTACCCCTGAAGTCTCGTGGTGCTACCCTAGATTAAAGTGTCGTTAATTAATTAGTAAGAGAGATTATGTTATATATCAAGATTTGAGAGAGATATCGTTGGATTAAGAGTGATAAAGAGGTTATGGAGAAATGAAAATCCAATCAAAAAAACAAGAATTATAGATAAATTATTTATATTTTTAATCCATTTGCCTTTTGATCTTTTATTATTTGATCATCAATTAACTCCAAACATTCTTTTTAATTTAAACAAATAAATCAATCTTTAAATAAAATTATTTTTTAATTTTCACTAACAGTTGTGTTAATTTGTTTTTTGTTTGGGGTTTTTAATTTGAAATAATTATTTAATTAAAAACAAAAATGGAAATTGGTGACAGTCATTGACTGATCATTTCCCTTTTGATTTATTTGCTAGGCTGCGAAGTAACTGGCCTTACATAACATGACAAATCGAGAAGCTAAGCTAAATTAATTTTTAAACGATTAAGATAGCATGCGTTCGCTTTGGGGTTTGGGTTGGGGTTTTTGCCACAAAATTTGTCAGAGTTTCGTGGTCGGGTTGCTACTCTAGTTTAAATAATTTAAATGATATTAGAAAGATTAATTACCTACATATGAGAATGTCCCCAACGATCAGCTGGAGGAGAGATAATTTTCCGAACTCCCCAATTATCCCAAAAAGTTTCCTTCAAAATTTAAAATTTATTTAAATTAAAATCAATGCTCGCCTTAAAATAAATTTTAAAAAATTTATTTTGTTAAATTGTGATAACACCCCAAAAACCTGTTCTTTCTTTCCTTTTCCCCTTTCATTTTTAAAATATTCCCCCCATTTTTCTTCTATTTTTTATCAATTTATTTTTTAATTTAATTATTTAAACAACTGATTTTTTTCTTTTTTAATTCTCTCTTTTTATTAAATTTAATAATTAAATAATTAATTTAAATGGGAAACATTGTGTTTGGAGAAAATAGAGGATGTTTTGAAACAGCTGACTATTGTGAGAGAATATTTTTTAATTAGTAGAAGAGTCAGGCAAGGGGCACTCATGATCCTTAATTAGAAGAGTGAGGCAGGGACAATACATACTTCTCTCTGTTACGGTTCCTTTTGGCGTTTCCATAAAATTGGATTTATTTTGTGGAACCCGAAAATGATTTATTATCACTTTGAATTTCAATATTTTTACTGGATTTTAGAAATCTAAAACTTAAATTGTAGTATTAAAAATACTTTAAGAACATTTTCAAATTAAATATTTATAAAAAATATTTAAAAATTTTGACTTTTTTGAAAAATCAAGAATAAAAATTTTGCTAAAATTTTATTAAAATTTGTCAAAATTTAATTAATTTAAAAGGCACTCGTTCATGTCCAGAACCAGCACAATGCATTTGGGTGGATCGTTGTGGCGATTCTTCCACTAGTGCACATTATGCTTGTTTACCTTTCGATCTGCGTTTTCTAACGTTTGTTTTTAATTAAAATTTTCATCGGACAAAAATTCTTTCGGCTAGCTTGGGTTGGTAGATCTGGGAAATCTCCGAATATCCAGACATTTTTCGGATCAGCAGCCCTGCTCGAAACCTCCTTGGTTCAAGTAGGGTAAATTGACACATCACGTAGACAATTTGCCAATTTCGGACATATCTATCCTTATTTTATTTACTTTATTTTTTACTTTATTAGATGGATATTTGTTGGCTTTTTTATTATTGTCGTTATTTGTTGTTCAGCCTTGGTTGTTTGTTATGCTATAAGGGCTATACGACATTCTCTTCGCCATCCTATACAAACAGATGGAGATATTATTTTTTACAATGCTAGGTTATTTAGATAAATTATTTAGATAGAGAAGAGAAATCTGCATAAAAACATTGACTTTAAAAAATTTTAAAAATTAAGCGAAAAAGAGAAATTTTTAGCACACTTATAGTCTATATGAATGCAAATTTGATAACACAAGATTCTCTATTTGACATAACCTTATTTTTTGGAATAAACTATGGGGAACTCCATTCTCTTGGTAAAGATGTAAGGGAAATTAAAGAAGGACCCAGAAAGAGTCATATTTAGGGAGACATTAGACACTCTAATGAAAATTTTGTTTAAACAAATCAAAATAAGATTTTGTTTGAGAATGCCCATATTAAAGATCTAAAAGAGCTTTAAAAGGATTCAAAGCCATATCCACTAGAATAAATAAATTAATTTTTATTTTAATTTAAAGGAATGTTCACCACTTTCCACACCCTGGAGCTATAAAATACACAAATTCTGCAGATCAAAGAGAATATAATCTTAAAAGGAATGGATATTATTATTGAAAGAAACTCAATTTTATTTTTTTAATTTAATGGGGGTTATTTGACAATATTTATGTGATATATAAAATATAAAATAAAATTCCTTACAACGATTTAATAAAATTGTGACAGGGGTAAGCGCAATGCATTTACCCATTAGTAGGGTTTCACCGGAAGTTCCGGTTCCGGTAAATTCCTGTGTTTTTTGGTTCCGGGAACCGGAACTCAAATTGGTTCAGGTTCCGGTCAAAATTTCGGTTCTGGTGAAACCCTACCCCTTAGTTACATAAATTATGGCCAAAAATGCCGGTTCTAAAAATACATATATCCAATATACCGAAGCTTTTCATCCACGAATTATTAAGATAGTGAAAGATGTTGATCAAATTTTCAACAGAAATGTCAGTCTGGCTAAATGCCAGACTATACCCAACCCTTTATTAAAAATTACCAATTTTTCAGATTTTTTCCCTTAATCTTCAAAGCTATAAAATAATATTTAGCTCATTAAATTTGTCTTTTCATTCTGAGTAGAATGATACCAATTTTACTCAATTGGTCTAAAATTAGCTTAGTTATTGAAAATTATTCCATTTACTCCAGACATATCTCTCTCCTTTTCCTCTTATCTTTTATTGTGACAGCCAGTCAGCGTGAGTACTTTATGGCCATTCTTTGAGGCTAAAGTACTTTGTAGTTTACTCAAACCCTCAATGACATGACTTGGCACATGTAATTTTTATTTTGAAATAATCCTTTCTCAAAGCTGGCAGGCCTTTTAAGTCCCAACCATTCAACAACTTAGAAAATTTTTATTCGGAAACAAAAATTCTGTGTTCAAAAAAACAAGAAAAATTGATATTTTTGTCACTTTTCGGCTAAAACTTCCTCACAATGTATTGCCAATTTTCAATTTAATTTCACATCAATTATAAACAAAATAAATTTTCTCACATTTATTGACAGTCGTTACCTAACCCTATTGATCAACTATCAAAATATTGCTTAAAAATTTATTCTGGACTCAACTGACCAAACAGACTAAATTTTCCATATTTCTAAAATAATTCTTAGAAAATTACAGACAAACCTCTAACAAATAAGAGAGTTGCTAAGTATATTCCCTATCTAAAGTCTCCCCTCTCTCAATTATAAAATAGAACAATTTTGCCAGCTCTAAGGTTTCCGTGTCGGCTAAAACGCGAAACGGCTACGACACAGAACGCCAAAGCATGGTCTTACCAAAACACGGAACGAACAAAATACGGACCATACCAAAATTGGAATTCCTCGTTTGTTTTGGAATTCCTCATTTTGCCCCTCACCCAAGGTTTCTCTCGTAGATAAATCTGACTGTACCATTCTAAATTTTCCTAATAAATTTTACGTATGGCTTTCCCTGTTTTTGGATAATTCTGCTATCTCCAACTTATTGTAATTATTGTTAAATTAACCAACAACACTTCCAAAATGCCCCAATTTTTATAAAATCACGCCTCGCAACAATATAGTAAATACAGCCTCTAATGTCCCTTTTCTCTCATTCTTTAATTGGAATTTTGACCAAAAATTTGGTGATCTTTTTGACTATTTTAACTTTTATTTATTCAGCATTCAAACGGTTCCGTGACTTTTGCGCCGAGAACATTTGCGCCGCGACTTATGCGCCGCGACTTTTGCGCCGCGACTTATGCGCCGAGCGATTTTGCGCCGGGGGACTTTTGCGCCGCGACTTTTGCGCCGCCACTATCATTAAAAATATATCAATAACTACAGCCGGACCTCACTTTAGTAGGGTTGTCGAATAGTTGGAAATCTTCGGATATCCGGATCCGATATCCGAACTGAAAATTTCGGATATCCGGAATTTTTCGGATCCGGATTTTTTAAACAATGGCGGCGCAAATGTCGCGGCGCATAAGTCGCGGCGCAAATGTTCTCGGCGCAAAAGTCGTGATACCATTCAAACTATCACAATCAAAAAAGGATAGATTTTGGAGTATAATTGTTTATTGTTGACTTGCCTGTATTGTAAAAAATAAAAAGTCGGCAAGAAACACTTTTTTCTTGACGATTTTCTTTTGAAGATAACAAAAAGACCAAAGGTTATAAAGGCAAAAAGTAATTATTAAATAATTTTTTCCTTTTTTGCGAAATTGTTTTTTCTTTGTTAGAAAATTTATTTTTATTGTTCACAGTCCTTCCTCCATGTTCCTAGAAACTATAAAATTCTTTTTGAAAAATTGTGCTTTGTTTTCAAAATTCTTTCTTTTTTCTTTACTCTTCCATACTTCGCAACATTTTTTTAATCTTCCCGAACATTATTTTCATGTTTGTTCACCTCCATGAACCCACGGCAAGGCTAAAATTTAAAAAAAATTTCGAAGAAAAACACCTAAATTCAAAATTTCAGTGCTTTTTAAGTTCTAATAATTTCTAAGTTTCACTAAAATACATATGTATGTATTCCACCTTTGCTAATTTTCTAATTTTAATTTTCCATGATCATTAGTTTTTTAGTTTCCTTCATTTTTATACAAATTTTCCACGTGTCAGAATATATCCTTCAAAACCCGTCCCACGTTAGAGTAAAAATTCATCCAATTTTTTAGGCAAAGGATAACTAATAGCCATTTAGTCCAAAGATATTATTTTGTTACATCCTTGGACCATATGGTCTAAGGATATAACAACATACCTAATATCGACACTTATTTCGGTAAATTTAGACGTATTTTTTACTATAATTTCTGACAGTGATTTGTTTGGAAGGTGTTTTCTCCCTCACTCTTTTCTCTCTATCTTTTCAATAACCCCCCTTATCAATTTTCCTTTTCTCAAAAAAATATCAAATTTTATTTTTGGCATTTAATCTTTGGACATTTTGTCCATTATTTTTTTTTTGCAAGTCTGGACTTGTCTTTCACCAACCCCCCTTCACATATTTTACTCCTTCCAAATATTTATGTGTCCATCTTTTATTTGTTTACACACCAAAAATTGATTACTCCGCAAATTGTGGGAGGAAAGGGGCCATTAGTGTCTCTCAACAAATCTTATCCTTTTTCCATCAAAATTCTTTTTTTAGTCCATACTCTAGTGTAACCCTCCACTTGCAATTCATCCAAGTAAATAAATATACACAAGTAATTTTCTATTTAGTATTTTTGCCTTTCTCGCTCTCTTAAATCTTTCTCCCTTTTTTCATTTTCATGTCAACATTCAGTCAATTTTCTGCAAAAATAAATATTTTTAGATCTATTTTTGTCCAGAGTTTTCTACAAAATTATGTTATTATCCCTTCTTTTCATTCATTTTTCAATCACGTAAAAATGTGTTCATTTATTGTTATCAGCTTAAAGTATAGTGGAATTCAGTTATTTCATATTAAGTAAATTTGAAACAAAGGGTACTTTATTATATGTATAAGGGGCTCTAATATGGACGAGGGCTTTAATGCAGAAAATAAGTACAGTATTTAGCTTTTTATGACTAATTTAGTCTTGTATAGTCTCAGGTAACGAAATTAGTTAGTTTCAATCAAAGCTGTACCAACATTTCGAGTTTCGGGCTTTTTTTATCTCGATTTTTCTTTTTGCCGGTTTCCGAGTCTCGACCACACCTCCAATTTGCATTTTTTATTAGAAGCGTTTTTTTTTCTTAGCTTCAAAGAACATTTTAAAAAAAAATAAAAAAGAATGTGGGAAATGCTTTGAACGGTTGTTTACACCACGTGGAGGCTTTTTTCTTTAAACTTTACGCCTTTTTTTCTTTCTATTCTCTCTTCCCTTCTCTCTCCCTTTCTCATTTTTTCAACTCCCACGTAAACTCATGACTGAAATTTTTATTGAAAGCTTTATTTTAGCTTTATATTCTTTTATTTATTTACTATTAAGCTCCTTTAGTTTACAAAAGGGCAATAATTTAATAATTATTTTCCACACTTGATTTTCCACACTCGGAGTACACTTGAGTCACAACTCTGAAACTATTCACCTCTTTTTGAAGAATTTAGTATCATTCAATAAAAAATAAAAATTTCTGCAAAATTACTTTTTAAATCTGCTTTTTTGATTATTTTATTTTTGTTTTTTGATTCATAATTTTATTGAATTTATTTTCGAATTTTATTTAAAAATTTAAATTTTTTGTTTAGACATATTCAATGTACTTTAGATCAGTGACCGGCGCGGGACGGGATCCCGCACGGTATTTTGCGGAATCCCGTCCCGCAATCCCGCACTTTTTCCAATTTGCAGGATTTTGTGGGAGTGCGGGATTCATCACGCGGGATCCCGTCCCGTAAAGATTTTAAAAAATTTTATCCCGCGGGATCCCGCAAACGTTATTTTGCCGGTCACTACTTTAGATACGTCCATTTTTTATTTTATAATTTGTTTAAATTAATTTCCAATTTTCGAGTTCCAACTGACAACCTTTCGATTCCAGACTTTTCCAGACCCTTTTATTTTAACATAAACAATTTTATTATTTTTTAAGTTATCAAAAATAATTTTCTACTAAACTTTAATATTAACTCCCCACTTATTTCTTCAAAACCTACAGAATTTACTTACGGGACTATGGCTGAACAACAACAACAGCCTTCTAATCCCCCTACTGACGACAAGACTGAAATTTCAGGCGCCTCAAAAGATGCGGAACAACGTGAACCTCTGCTGATTGCGAGACAGGACGCGACTGGGGATGACCAGAAAGCTAAACGAACTGTTCCGGTGGGTTAGATTTGTATTTGAAAATTTAAAAAAAATTTTGGTCACTTGAGCCTGAATTTTATTTTTGTACTAAATGATTGAAGGAAGTATTTTTGAGAGTATTTATTTGGTATTAGAAATTTAGTTATTTAATATTAAGTAAATTTGAAAAAAAAGAAATGGTCCAATTCCAAAAATTTCTTTTGTCAAAAAATTAAATTGATCAGAAAAGACTGGACGGTTAGGATGATTCTTTGAAATTTTTGACTTTTCTATAACCACACCATTTTTTCTCTTTTAAAAGGTCAATCAACTTTTATCTGTACATTCTTAGTAAATTCCCATTAGAGTCTAAATTAAATACGATTGGGTAATTCTTGTTAATTTTTGACTTTTCCTTTGTTAGTTTCCCAATTACTTTATCAGAAAGTTCTTAAAAACTTATCTAAACTGATCGCAATAGTAACGCGGAAAGGGCGAAGCATATCGAGATACTTCAATTTTACTTGTTTTAGGCAAAAAATTAAATTGATCAGAAAAAATGGGAACCTTAAAGTTCATGATTAAGGGTAAATACTTTTTAATTACACATGGGTTGATTAACCGTTTGTTGTTTAAAAAAGTTGACAAATGAAAAGATGGATGGTGTTACACAATATATTAAATTTTGTTTATTTTAAGTTTTATTTTCTACAACAAATTTTCTTCCAATTTTAGTTATTTCCTTTATTTGATATCTTGTTTCTAGGAGTAAGGCAGTTTTTAACTTCCTGATTAAACTCTATTGCCCTCTCTTATTTTTTTGAATTTTTTATCAGGACGATAAGAAGTAAATTCTATGGGAATCATTAAATTAATCACGTAAAAATTTATGTGATATGTTCAGTTATTGTTATCAGCTTAAAGTATAGAGGAATTCCGTTATTTAATATTAAGTAAATTTGAAAAAAAATAAAAAGAAAAATGGTCCAATTCCAAAAATTTTTTTTCCTTTGTCAGTCACAGACTTTTAGCTGCTTAAGAATTAAATACTCATTTTTATCTATTTTTAAATTTTCTGAAAAAAAAATTTTTTTAATAAAACTAATTTTAGAATTTAATTTTGTTTTACCTTTGCTCTTTTATTTTAAGCTTCTTTTGCTCTTTTAAATTTTTGTTTAACTAGAAACATTTAAATCAACAAACATTTCTGTATAATAGACTAGTCATTCCTCAAATATTAAATTTGGGATAAGTCATTAATATTTTTTGTAAATTTTGAAGGGGCGTAGGCTTACAATTAAATTGGTATTTTAAATATGTAGTATTTTTTATTTTTGAATAAGGTCATTTATATTTTTGGATTTGTACTCTTATTATTTTATTTTAAGTTTGTTCTTTATTTCAAGTTTAAACTTGTTTTAGTTAAATGTTTTAAGTGTTTCTGAAAATGTTTTTAAGTTTGTGATACATGTTTTTGAGAGATGTTCGGAAGTTTTTGAAACATGTTTTTATATGTTTTTATATCAAACTAATTTTTGTTTAAAGTTTGTTGTAAAATGTTTTAGATGTTGTTGAGTCAAGTTTGTTGAGCATGTTTTTACAATGTTTAGAGAAATCTATGAAAAACATTTCTTTTTATATTAGAATAGATGTTTGTAAACCATGTTTTTAGATGTTTTTATTGTATGTTTTATTGCAATGTTTTTATTGTTTTTAATTGTGAAATCTGTCAGGCATGTTACAAGTTTTTAGTGATGTTTGAAAAAATGTTTTGTTTTGTATTAAAAAATAATGTTTAGGAAACATGTTTTTATTTGTTTCCAATTGTTTATGTTTTTGAAATTTTAGTTAAACATTTCTTTTTAAAGATGTTTGATCGTCAAGTTTGTGGATATGTTTTTAATGTTTCTTCGAAAAGATTCTTCAGTAAACATTTCTCCTTTTATGTGTTTTTAAATGTTTGATTGTAAAACATGTCTAATTGTAAGTGTTTTATTTAATTGCTGGAATTTTTTTGAATGTTTTTGGAATGATCTTATAAACATTTTAAATGTGTTTAGGTATGTTATTGTTAAAACATGTTTTATGTTTATTTTTCTTCTACTATAAAAACATTTATTTTAAGGCATGTTTGTATCTGTTTAAAATTAATGTTTTGTAATATTTTAATTTTTAAAAACATGTTTTACAAAAATATTTACTACTTTTTACATTTCAAATTGATTCACAAAAACATTAAAAACATTTCAATTTATTACCTTAAAATCCCCCAAAACTAAAAGATAAGTAGGTAAGATTCTCTGCAACCTATTTTCGATTAAAACAATTTGGGTCGTTTACTAAAAATAGTGCATTCAAAAATGTTTTTATTATGATGTCTATTTAAATAAATCAAATTTTGTAAAATAAAATTTTTCTTATCTAAGTTTTTGTTAAAACTGAAAAAAAGTTTATTGTTTAATTTGATTATTATAAGCAAGAATTCTTTCCTACTAAATATCGTTAATTCTTTTATCTTTTCTTATCATTAAAATTTAAATGTCGAATCTCGATGATACGTCTCTCCGTTAGCACATCTCTATCTTTATTACATTTGAACAATTCTCTCTTGTAGAGACGTTTAATTGAGATTCAACTGTATTCAGCTAGTGATTCCCATGTCTAGTTAGCGTAAGCCCTCGAAAGCTCTGGGTTTTATGAATTGCAAAAGTTAAAATTTATCTTGTAAGTCCATCATAATTTTTTTACAACTGGAAACAGTGGATCACAGTTTTTTCGATGATCGATTTTCTCTTTTTTTAATTTTTAAAAAATTTTAAACTCTTTTTCTCGCTTCTAGACAAACTTAAAACAAACAAAATTAGTTTGTTAAAATTATTAAACGATTTATTGGGAATAAATAATTGTTTATTTAGCTACTTTTTAATGTATTTTTTTGACTAGTTTTTTCCCCAATTTTCTCTGTTAAAAAATAATTATTATTGTTGTAATTAGTAAAAAATAATATTTTTATTATGAGCATTTCATCAACTAAAAATAATGAAAAGGAGAATATAAAAATATCTTCTCCAATAATTATTAATAACGGGGATTCTTCATCATTTAGTACAGAAAAGTTTCAGAGGACGACCTCAGACAGAAATAAAAAAATGGTGAAAAAAAATTAAAAATATAGTCGGATCGTTCTATAATATACCCCCTTGGATTTGAAAGAAGTATTATATAATGGGGCGTATCTTAGTACTCTTAGGTAGGGACCATTATTTGGAACCCGTAACTCGTACGGGTATTATTATTTCTTCATACTTGAATTGGCATATTTTACGACGGTACATTAAGATACAATTTGTTTAGCCATTAGTATTTTGGCAGATCCTGGTAAATGCCGGATCTTATGATTAGTGTAAGCGGGCCAGATATAAAAATTCGACTATCCGAAATTTTTGAGTTGGATTCTTCTAATGGCAACCTTCCACGATCTCATTTTCTAAGAACCCAAGAATTTCCCCTAACTATTGGACTTTTATCAGCCCAAACTTAGTCACAAGTGTATCTTATATGTAGTTATGTCTGACTATAAATTTTGTTTCAAATTTGTATATGTATGTATCTGTGTTATTTTTTAAAATAAATTTAGGAAGGACATTGGACAAAATCTCTTATTTTTGCTGTTTTGGCAGCAGCTTTTGGAAGCTCTTTTCAATTTGGTTATCATATTGGATGCATTAATCTGCCCGGTGTGGAATTTTAAATTTAATATTTTAGGATTTTATTTGGATTTATTAAACTATTTTTGGATATTTCTTAGCTCCATCTTATTGAAAATATGGGATTAAATTCTTTAAAATATTTAATTTTTTTATAGCTGACCTTATCAAACAATGGTTTTCCGAGCAAATTTCTGGATCTGATGCTGCCACCATTGAAGCAAGATGGTGAGATTTAATTCCTAGGGTTCACGACAGTTAATTTTAGCTTGTGGTGGCTTATATTAGGAATTTTAAGGACTTTTGAGGGTCACAAGTTAAAATTAGCTGGTGTTCGGGAACTGCCCTAGTTGAAACTTTTGGGAGTGGGTTCTCAGTAAAATTATTAAATATCTTTAGGGGTATGGCAGTTGGAGTTTTTGCTGTTGGTGGTATGATTGGAGGAAATTTGGTGGGAATTGTTGCTACAAAACTTGGACGGAAACGTGCACTTTTGTACAACAACGCTTTGGCTATAATCGCTGGGGCTTTAATGGCGGGAGCTAAATTTGTGGGAAATTATTGGCTTTTTATTTTGGGCCGTCTTATTGTTGGAATAAATGCTGGTAAATGGAGAAAATTAACTCTTAAATGACGGATGGGTCAATATGACCCCAACGCTTTAACGTCGTATAAAATTTTCCGTCGTTTAAGTGTTAAAAAGTTTGTTGCGATAAAATGTCTTAAGGAACAGACGTTTTCGGGTTGCACCGTAAAAATGCCGCCCATAGAGCGATTTGTTTTTGGAATGAATTTTAAGGTTGACGGATAGTGGGAAATCTTTGAAAAATTTACTGATTGTCGTTCATTTTTCAGATTCGGATACCGGGTCCACCAACTTTAGTTGACTCCAATCCTAACTCCAATTCCAAAATAATTTCTATTTTTTCAAGATTTATATTGAGAAAAATTAGGCTAATATATTTTTGGATCAAATTTTATCCATCTATTTAATATTTAAAATTAAAGAAAAAAATAAAAAAATTCCATCGTTATAAAACAATTTCTTCCCTTTTTAGGATTAAACAGTGGATTAGCACCAATGTATTTGACTGAAGTTTCGCCTGCCAACTTGCGTGGAGCTACTGGCTCGTTTGCTCAGTTGTTTGTGACTATTGCCATCCTCTTCTCTCAGATTCTTGGACTCCCGTTTTTATTGGGAACTGTTGAGAGATGGCCGTTTATTTTCGCTTTTACTTTTGTACTTTTTTTAAATTCTAATCTAATCAATTATCTGTCATACCCATACTACCTTAGGGCTTTTAAAAGGTTTTATGAAAGTCGGATCTACTCAATTTTGGTTGATTCTTCCTTTTTCTTTGAGTTAAGACGATTGATACCAAAATCGACATTTTGGGATATTTTTACGATTAGTTCCTTCGACGAAGAAAAAATTAATTCCTTCGACGAAGAAAGAGTCTTGATAGAATGGCCCGCTTTTGTTCCAATCCTTTCTGATTTCCAATCCTTTCTGATTTTTTTTTAATTTTGAATGGAAATTTAAAATTTAATTTTCCACACAAAAATCCCTTTTAATATTTCTTTATTTTTCAAAGGTGCCTGTTATTGTTCAACTGTGCACTCTTACATTCTGCCCTGAGACCCCTGAATTCACCATTGTTGTTAAAGGCCAAAGAGATCAAGCAGAGAAAGACTTGAAAAAACTTCGTGAGAGTGACGATGTTTGTTTTTAATTCTGATTATTTTGCAAAATCAGAATTTTAATTTTAGTCTAAAAATCAGAATTTTTATTTATCAAACCAGATTAGGAACCAGAATTCTGATTTAGTTCTGATTTTATTCCGATTTATTTATAGGTTCAAGCTGAACTTGACTTAATTTCTGACGAAGCCGCAAAAGCTAATTCTGGAGCTCCTTCCTCAATGAAAGACATTTACGGTACCAGACTTCCATGGCCTTTGGTCCTTGCTTTGTTTATGATGATTTCTCAACAATTGAGTGGAATTAACGCTGGTGGGGTTTTTGAAGGGAATTATTTTAAAAAATTATTTTTTATAGCTATGTTTTATTCGACTGCTATTTTCAAGGGAGCCGGTCTTAAAGGACAATGTGAGAGTTTTTAAAAAATTTTGCTAGCGGACTGTTTTAAATTTTTATTTAAAGGGCCAAATTATGCCACAATTGCAATGGGGGCTATAAATGTTTTGATGACTGTTGTGTCTGTTTATTTGGTAAAATATTGAAAAACTGTATGACATTTAAAAAATTTTTCAAAGGTTGAACATCCCCGCTTTGGACGTAGAACTCTTCATATTACTGGAATGGTCGGAATGTGTTTCTCAACAGCGATGATTGCTATTTCTATGCTTGTTGCTAAGGTACAATAAAAACATTTACAAATCAGAATTAAATAAAAACAGACCAGAATTTATTGGAATAAAAACCAGAATTAAATGAAAAATCAGAATTAATTTAAAACATCAATTAAAACATTAAAAAGTTCAGAAACAGAATTCTAATAATTCCCCCAGAATTAAATAAAAATCAGAATTAAATTAAAACAAACCAGAATTTACAAATATCAACACAACAATAAACAAATTAAATCAGAATTTCTTACAAACTTTTTTAAATTAAATCAGAATTTAAAAATTTAATTTTCAGTCCATTGAATTTGTCTCCTTCCTTTCAATCATTTTTGTTCTACTCTTTGTCATCTCATTCGCAACTGGACCAGGTGAATTTTATTAAAAATGACTTCAAAAATTTTTAAATTAATTTTAGGATCAATCCCTTGGTTCTATGTAAACGAAATGTTCCCGTCAAATTTGCGTGGTATTGCCAGCACTTTTGCGGTTACTGTAAATTGGATTTGTGTTATACTCGTTGCTACGTTCTTCCCAATTATTGATGTGAGTTTTAAAAATTTTTAAACTTTTCTGATCGGATAAAAGACAAAATTATTGCTGAACAAAAAATTAAAAAATCTAAACAAAATTAATTAAAACATTTAAGAATACTTAACAAGCAAACTTAAGTTTACAAAACAGAATTAAGGAAAACAAATCAGAATTAATTCTAAACATTTACAAACATAAATTTACAAACATAAATTTAAACATGTAAAATCAAATATTTCCGAACAAACTTCATAGAAAACCGACCAGAATTAAATATAAACATGAACAAATTTTAATCAGAACAAACCAGAATTTTTAAGAAACACAAACAAAATTAAAACAAATTAAATCAGAATTTTCTGAAAACATTTTTGTTTTTAGGGTATTCTGGCTGAATATTCCTTCTTTGTATTCACTGCTCTCCTGCTAATATTTATTCTGTTCGCACTCAAGTTTTTGCCCGAGACCAAGAATAAAACGCTTGAGCAAGTTTATGAAGAAATGGATAACCGAAGGGGTGTTAAGACTAAATTGAATAATAATCAAGTTTGAAGAGAACCTGAAGAGAAAATAATTTTTTGGAGACTTTATTTATTTATTTACGCCTAACTGACTTTTTTTAATATTATTTTTTATTAACTTGCTAGTTGACCTATTCTACCAAATTATTTTTTTTAATATTCTTGGCAGTCTGTGGGTTGACAGTCGATTTAAAATGCCTTAAAATTTCAATTTTGTTGATTTTTAAATTCAATATAAATTCACAGATTGCCAAACTGATCGTTTACTATCCACCATTTTTAAACTTTATAATAATAAAAGTGCATTGACATTTTCACTAATTATAGGATCTGAAACAGGGATGGCTAGGGTTGTCAAAAAGTAAGAAGGATTTCAAAATTTTTTTCTGATCGGGTTTCTGAACGAAAAAAACGCGTTTCGGGTAACTCTACCCATCCCTGATCTGAATTAGAGCTAAGCTCACTTGATTTATTCTGGCCGTACTTTTTCTGACAAAATTTACCCCCCTTATTTATACAATATTTTTCATTTTTTTATTTTTTCCCATAGCCATACTAAAATAAGGCAATTTTGCAGACTAAAAAACACAATTTTTTCATTAAAATTTGAAACATAAACTTTTTTTTTGTTAATCTTTCCTTCTATTAAAATTGATTAAAAGATTAAAAATAATTAAAGATTAGGGTAAATTCGAATTTCCGTTTAAAAAAATTTATAAAAAAATCGGAGCGCAGAAGTTTCATCGGACACCGATGCAATTACAAGTCACTTGCGCCTTTGGCCATCCGACCTCCACGTAGCATATTTTACGAGCCTGCTACCCTCCACAAAACCTTCGCTAAGGAAAGTCTTTTCCTCCTGGCCGTGAGGGGGAAGGGTGGTGGAGAAAGGGTAGGTGGTGGAGAGAGGTGGTTGGTGTTGTTCCCGACTTTGTCGATGTTTGGCACCAGACCTGAATGTTTATGGGTAGATGGTGGGGATGGGTAGATGGTGGAGAGAGGGTGGTTGGTGGAGGTGGTTGTGTTGTTTTCCGACTTCAGTCGATGTTTGGCACCAGATTTGAATGTCTGTGCCCTCCACAATCTTAACTGCGCTCCACACTCACGCCTTTTATTCATTTATTTATATTTATGCCCTATATATTAATCAGAAATTTTTGATGGGTTGTAAAAGTATACATGATAGAGTTTTTCTCTGCTATCTTTTCCTATTAATAGAAAAGGTCAGTTGATCGCAGATGATAGAGTGTGACTTTTCGGGTCGGGATACGGGGTTTTCACTTTTTTTCGGGGCGGGGTTCGGGTCGGGGAGAATCGTGAAAAAATCGTTCGGGAACGGGGTCGGGGTCAAACCCTAATTTTAACTGGTACCCTTATTCAAATTATTCTAATTATCTTAAATTAAACTATGTCTCGATGTCAGCCATAGTGATTATTTGAATATCGGAGTGCCGAAAAGTTTGAAAAATTTTAAAACTTGATCATCAATCTTCCAGAAAGCTTCAAAATAGCAAAAAACCATTTTGTCTTGTCTTACCATATTTAAGGCGTCCTCTATTAAGACGGTTTTCGAGCAAAATTTGAACCCTTTTGAAACAAACCTTTACGTCTTTTTTTTATTTTATTTGATTGGACGTGAATTTTACAAACTATATATTTTGTTTAATAATGTGTCAATTTCTTCAGAAAGAAAACCATTTTCAGGTATTATTTCATAACCAAAAGCTAAAGAAAATTAGTCATTTTTTTGTTTGTATTTTGGATTTATCGGAAAGTTTGATTTTAGAAAGTGCTAAAGAAGATGATAAATACTTATGCTTTTTTTTCTAGAAAACGCTGCTTTATAAAGAATTTCATTTTCGTTTTATTGAGCAAAAAAATTTTTTAATTTAGAATATTTTTAATTTTGTTTAATAAATATTTTGATTTAATTTTTAATTAGGTATATGATTTGATGTACCTAGTTTCAATTTTTAAATCAAAGATTTTTAATTATTTATTATTCAATATCTGCGGATTTATGAAAACGAACTGAAAAAATTTCTCCGTTTCGTTCAGTTCATAACCTATAATCCTACGGGGTATAGATAGGAAATTTGAGAAGATCGAACAAATGTAGTTTATTTCGCCGAATTATTTCAAGTCTATCCCATGATTCGAACGACTCTTGAGACATCCAATAGTCTTAATCTTGATGGGTTTGGGTGTTGTTTTACTCATGATTCATGTTTCCTTTCTAGAAAATAAAAACTTTCACCTAAACTTTAGTAATTATTAAGCATAATCTAAACATGCCCAAATTTTATTTTTTTTATTTTTTATTTTATTCAATTATTGGAATCAGTTTATTCAATGGAGTATTAGCTGAATTCGAGTAATTAACTCTAAAAAATTTAAAGTTTTAAAAAAGTTTAGTTGTTATTCCTGTGCATCGCCGATATTGCAGAGTGAATGGCAGGGAACAGGGCTACGTTTAGCGCCTCAGGTGTTTTTTGAAGGTGATGCTGGTACTGGCAACCCTAATAAGGTATCAAATTTACTGCCGTAATAGTGTATTTAATAGTCTCTAAGGGGGGCCCCGCCATGCCTGTTGCTGAAATTCTGGCTTCTAATGGTTTTTGAGCTTGAATTCACAATTTCTAAAAGACGCCAGGATCCATAGTCTCTAGGGTTCATAGCCTATAGTAGTCCGCTGTTGTGCCCTTGAACGCCTCTAATGGACGTAATAATGTGGTAATAATCTGTCCTGTTTTTGGGAGATACATAATTAGATAGGAAATGACTTGAGGGGGGATCTTATCAATAATACATCGATATTTATAGCTAAAACAATTTGCATTTCTTGATAAATGCGGAGAAAAAGGCAGTACAACAAATATACAACCAATGTCACATTGTTCCGGGGGTGTTTGCATTGAAATGTTGATTGTCTCAAGTGTGTATTTCCCCCTTTCCTATCAAAATTTTTTCTTAAAATTTAGATGGAATATATTCAATAGTGAGAGGTTGTCTTAATGATTTCTTTCCTCCAGACTATCCAATTCCTACTGGGAATTTGGAATGTGTTTATGGAGCTTCTAATCAGAATGCTACTGTTGGTATGTATTTGAAAGGAAAATTTATTTTTCAGATTTTAAAGACATTTTCTAGAAACCTGAAATTCTAAAAAGATGGAGATTGAGTGAGAGAGCCTGATCTATCTCAGGCTCTCTTGCCCCATTATTATATATCCTATTAAACAAAGCCCAGAAAAAGCCTAAAAATACAGTTGAATCGAGGCTATAGTTACTACCAGAAACCGATTAATTTAAAATTTCGTTTTTATTTCGTTGGGCACTGAGCGAGGAAACTGATAAAATGGTACAATCTATTTAAAATACATACACACACTGATATAATTCTCTGAATGATATTTTAGCCTAAAATAAATTTGCCATTTAAGTGTCAGCAAATAAGATTGAATTTGTCCGGCAAGCAACAGTAGGGCTAAGTTTGTGCCAGGCATCACAAGTACACTCATTTTTATTTAATTTTTTGAAATTATTTAAATAAAGCAATCAGACCCTTGCAACAATAAACTATTAATTAACGATAAATTCGCAAAAGGACAACAATCGAGTGATGGGTGGGGACCTGACTGTAAAAAAGCTTCAGGAAGTTTGCTTTTAAAAATAAAACTTCATTAAAATCTTCAAATTTAATTTTAGTGGTTGAATGTTTAAAATGTATGAGGAATGATATGGAGGGGGATTGCCACCGTGATGTGCGTACATATTGCACCGGTAAAACTTGAGAATATTTAATTCTTTAGGAGTACAGTTTGCAACAAAATTAACAAAAAGTGTGTGATAATAGGTATCTGTATCAGGAGGTAAGGGAGATAACCGAAAATTTCTCTTCGTTATTACAGCGATAGTTTGGTACATAGGCACAGAATGTTTCAAAAATATAGGCACCCTCCCTCTATGGGTTGCAACCTAAAACATTTTATCAGAAAACGATTTTTATCCCTGATAGATGAATTCTGTAAACAGATTAGCTCTCTCACCTCGATAAATTCTGTAAAAGGAAGCATCTAATACCGAGTATTTTTATCTCCAAATAACTACGGTTAAGATAAACTTTCCCCAATTCCTTCATGTTGATTATATAGGAAGTTGGTAGCTTTTTTTATAATTTTTTAATAATTTATAGGTGCTTGGTGCACTAAAACTATTGGTTACCACAACGGTAATTAAAAATACCAGAATAAAATATAATTTTCATATTTTTTTAATTCCAAGGGCGTTGGTTAGAAATGCGTGGATGTTCTCCATTCAATCCTCTTAATACCCAAAGTTGTATAACTATAGAAAGACAATCAGAACTTTCCCAACTTGGCGATACACAAATTCCACAGGTATAAATAAACAAAAGTTTATTAAAAAAGTGGTTTAAATATATTTTTAATGACTGAAAAATGGAATTTTGAAGGGTCATTATTAAGAAAAAAATATGGGGGTTACAGAAGGGAGAACACTTTTTCCAAAAAAAAATGAGAGATACACATAATCAGACCTGCTCACGGATATGGATACAGATATCAAGATGCCTGCGGATATCCGCTTGTATCCGCCGTAAATATCCGGATATCAAAATCACTATCCTGAGCAGGTCTGGATATAACTATAATTTTATTATTTTCAGCATTTAAGTGTTGAACAATGTTTTTGTTCAGGACAGCGTTGTAATGCCGCAGTTTCAACCAAATTTAATAAAGGAATAATTATCTTCATTCTTTCAAGCATTTTTGCTCTGATTTTAGCATTAAGCATTTAATGAAGAATATTTCTAAGAAAATCTTCAATCTTCGAAAAATTTAAAAATTGAAATCATTAATAATATTTTAATTTTAAAGAATAAAATTTTTGTTAAAATAATTTTTAAATTTTATATAAATTTAACACATATGTATAAACGGCTCCCGAATGATGTTTTAGGTGCTGAGAATGCGACATTTAAGAATACGTTCAAAGATTAGAAAAACAAATATTATATTTAGGGTCCGGGCCGAAAGATCGAGTCGGGCATAGAATTTTTACCCGAAAAAGACTCGGTCGGACCGGCCAGATAAAAATGAGGCCGAAAAAATGACTCGAACGTCGGCCCGACTCGAAAACCCCAATCCTAGCTTTAAAGTTTTAAAGTTGCAACTTAAAATATTATTCCCATCAGGCGGATATTCTGACCTATGTCAAGCTAGTTTCTGTTGAGGCTTAACATTCCTGTGTCGAGTCTCACTGTTGGAACTCAAAGTTTCTATGCCAAGGGCTTTGAGTAATTAAATTATATATTTATCATAAAAGTTAATCTCAATATTTTATTATTAAGAAATATCTCTCAATAAGCTACATAGTAAGGGACTTAGTCTCTTAATAGTGCAGATTAAGAAATTATCGACAAGTGCCTTAGACAAGGTCCATCGCGGAGATATTTCTTAATAATGTTTAAAAATAATTTTGTTCATTTTACATTTTCCTTTATTAGTTGTCAGTTGTTAAAAAGTCTGAGTAAAAAGTTTGAAAACCTGGATTATATTTATTTTTCATAATTCTTTATATCCATTTCTTGATTTTAGCGGTATCCTTTTAGATATTGAATAAATATTTTAAAACTAAATTTTATAAATGTTTATTCCCCTATTAATAATTTTATCACTTTTTTCAAATTCTTATGGTACTTTTGAAAGCGAATCAAGGCGAATCATGAAATTTCTGGGCCAGTTTTTTCTTTAATTTTCTTTAATTCATTCAATTTAATTTTTAGACGAAGTATCGTCTTCTGAAACAAAAAGTTTAACTCAGAAGAAAAATAGTATGTTTGACAAACACAGGCAGAATTTTGTAAATAAAAAATATTTGCCGTTATATAAAAACGAAATATGGTCTCCAACAGAAAATGATTTTAAAGAGTATATAATTTAAATATAAAATAAAGTAAAGCAGCTGGGCTATAGCTACTATTTGGCTACCCTACAACTCATCCAATTCTTAACTCATCTAACACTTAACTCATCCACACGGCCAAAAACGCTCAACTCATCCAATCCTCAACTCATCTAATGCTTAACTCATCCACACGCCCAAAAACGCTCAACTCATCCAATCCTTTGGAACGAGACTATTGAGTACCAGTCGTTTGAGTCCCTGGCCGTTTGAGTCCCTGGCCGTCTGAGTTCATGACCAGTTGAGTCCCTGGCCGTTTGAGTCTCTGGCCGTCTGAGTTCATGACCAGTTGAGTCTCTGGCCGTTTGAGTCTCCGGCCGTTTGAGTCTCTGGTAAGTAGGGTCCATGACCAGTTGAGTCTCTGGCCGTCTGAGTTCATGACCAGTTGAGTCCCTGGCCGTTTGAGTCCATGACCAGTTGAGTCCCTAGCCGGTTGAGTCCCTGGTCAGTTGAGTCCCGGCCGTTTGAGTGGTTGATTACCGCCGGTTGAGTCTTGGGCCGGTTGAGTCTTGGGCCGGTTGAGACTCAACTGACCAGGGACTCAACCGGCTAGCGGACTCAACCGGCCGATATTTCAAGGATTGGATGAGTTGAGCGTTTTTGGGCGTGTGGATGAGTTAAGCATTAGATGAGTTGAGGATTGGATGAGTTGAGCGTTTTTGGCCGTGTGGATGAGTTAAGGAATTTTAGCCGTTTAGATGAGTTGAGCGTTTTTGGGCGTGTGGATGAGTTAAGGATTAGATGAGTTGAGCGGGCACGTACTATTTCTCTCATTTAGCTAGTTCAAAAGATTAATCGGCGGCTGGGTGCGAACCAGCATCTTCGGTAGACCGGACTGATCCATTACACCACACCGCCTACTGCACAGCCTTAGGAAATAAAAAATTGCTTTACAGTAATATAAAATTAAAATAGGTGCCAAAAAGGAGAACAAGAATTCAAAATTGGCGAATTTGTCGAAGTAAAGAATATGAGCAATTTTACAGGCAACACAGAATGGTTATTAGCAAAAATTGTAAAAATTGAAAATGAAAAGTATAAAGTTGAACTAAAAAATAATTCGCTTTCTGGTACAATATTTACCCGATGTTCAGAAGATATACGGAAATTTAATGTTGACTTTCAAATTAACGAAATAGTTGAAAGTTGGAATAATAATGAATGGGTTTTAGGAAGAATATTAGGAAAAGATGAGGAGGAGTATATCGTTCGTATTGAAAGTGGAGAATTTTATGGGGAAATATTTAAGAGTTATCCAAATAATTTAAAAAAGCATGGGGAATTGGAACATTATGAAATTGATGAAATTGTTGAGGTAATGAACAATGACAAAATAACAGGAGAAACTAATTGGATTAAAGCAAAAATATTAGAAATTAAGAGAGGAAATACTTATGTTGTAAAGATTTTAGAGAAATGTAAATTGAATGGAGCTGAATTTAATAGAAATATTTCTAATATAAGAAAATTTAAAAGTGAAAATAACTTTCAAGATTTTCAAGTTGGTGAAGAAGTTGAAGTTTATTTTTATGATAAATTTGGAGACAAGACGGAATGGGTGAAAGCTAAAATATTACAAATTAAAAATGGAATTTGTATTTTGAAGAATGAAACAAATATACTAAAAGAATATTATTCTTTTAATTTAAGAAAGATTAATTCTAAATAGAAAAAAGTGAAGTATCTTTTAATGTGTGAAGAAAATTATAAAAGAAAATTTTGAAAGATTTAAATAAATTGTTCTACATATATAAAGAAATAAATGTATTTTATGGAGATTTTTGAACTTTTATTGGTGTGTCCGCACCTGTAGAAAGCACATAAATGATTAGAGGCCACGAAAAAGACTCGCTCGGGCTGGCCCGAAAAAAATGACTCGAACGTCCGCCCGACTCGAAAACGGCAACCCTAATTATATTATATGGAAACTCTCGATTAATACGCTGATAGGGCAAATTTTGCTTACTTAAGTAGGAAAGTGAGGTGTGAGGAGACGGCGTTGTATATTTAGACAAAACAATATAATTTATTGTTTCGGACTAAATCCTCGAAAACCCGGTTTTTTAGACACACCAGTTTACACACACATACCCACTTCCAACTTTCTTGGTTGGAAGCAATTTAATAATTTTTTATTTTGTAAACAATTTCTATAGTAGTTTTATATTTACAAATGTTTCGAAATTAAAAATTGATATGGAAGATTTTCGGTTCAAGATATACAGGGTCCATTAAAGAAAGGCCAAGTGTATTTGATCAAATAAAATTAAAAAATATTAAATATGTGATTTTTCGAAGTCCAGCGATGTGGAAAAATACTAATAAGATATTGGAAATAAGTTAGGTAATTTGTTTTTCGGTTCTTGAGAAATTTCTGATATCCAGATGTTTTGTAAATCTTGAACCAAATAACTAAGCCAAAAAATCTTCGATTATTCTATCAAAAATCGAAGAATATATCACCAAACTTGGCATCTCTTTTTTGGATTCATTGGTGTACCAGATTGACATTTAAAATGATTGGAGAATTGTGGCATGTTGGCAAGAACAACATTAACCCTAAATAGGTACTTATTATAATTTAGGTATATATTCTATTTTCTAAAAATTATGTTTAAAATTTCTTTAAAACATTAATTTTCCCTCAACACTACGTAATTATATAGTCGAATGCCATTTTCAAACTACCATGAGGTTCAACTTAGTTATCGTCTTTTATCCTCTTAAGACTATCTGGTTGATCCTCTCAAATTAGCTTAATCGCTCCCTCATATTAAATGTCCTTTTCACCCAAATTTTCCTTAACACTAATCTGTGTCAATTAACTATACCTTGCTTCAGGAGGCGAATGTACATCATAAACAGCTCCAAAAATGGCAGCTTCAGGGCGTTGGTTTGTACACCAACTCTTAAAAAATTAAATAATTATTTTTCTAAATTTTACACCCACAAAGGCGTAGTTTATAAAGAACAATTGCTCAGCGCTAAACTCTTCCAATCCTTTCAGTTTTTTTTGAGAGGCTATAGAATTCTTTTTTAATGCTATTTCCATTGCATTATATGCAGCTCTAAATTTTTGAAAAAAAATTTATAAAGAAATTCTTTCAAGTAGAATTGACCTCATCCCTCCATTATCTGCTATATTTTCACCTTGAGTCATTTTTCCATTAATCTTTAAAAACAAAAATGGCATAAAATATAGTAGTTACCTAAGGTTCCTAGTCTAAGTCTCTTTCATGACTCCAATAAAAATATTTTAGTTTATAATCAAGCAAGACTGGATCAGGACTGAGTTTCATGGACACAAAATTAACCCTGAAATTGTGAAAAAACCCGGATTTGGGAAAAGAATTCGAGTAAAGTCTGTCTAGTAAGCCCCGTCTACAGTCGTTGATTCTTGAATTTTGAAAATTTCTAGGTTAGGATAAGCAGATGGTTTCTCAAAAAATTTCAAATTAAAAAGCATCGACAGACATGTAATCCATCCAATCCATTTACTGTAATAGCATCATATTGGTCAACAAAACATTGTTTTTGTTTTTGAAATGCGGCAGCAGTTTCCTTCTTCCACCAATTCCTAACATTCCCAAATTCATCGTGTAGACGGCCATTATTATCGAATCCGTGTGTTATTTCGTGTGCCAATACTACACCGATTGAACCGTAATTCATTGAGCTAAAATAACGGAAGTAATTTTGATTTTAAGATATTATTTGTTATGGTTGTTATTAGAATTCGAACATTTTACCTTGCAGGACCCGGTAAACGGGTTTTTCAGATGCGACCCGGGCCGGGCTTCCGGGCTAAAATCACGAAAACCCAGAAACCCAAAAAAACCGGATTTTATCAAGCTACCCGGTTTCCTGGTCCGGAAAATCCGGTCCTGGCCCGGGTTCGAACTCTAGTTCTTATATACTTAATTTTTGAAATTTATTATAGGTATTTGATCATATAAATAATTCTTATTTATAGGTTATTTAGGGAGGAATTTTTTATTCTCAATTTAATTTTAAATCGCCAACCCTATGCAACATCGATCTTTCACAAATTTTTAAATATTTCTCAAAATTTATACATTGGACGAGTAGTCGAATTGAAGAAAACCCCTTGTAAAATACCTCCAGTCAAAACTTTTAAATTAAAAAATTTTTTAAATAATTTTTCAATTATTTACCTATAACATTTTTAATTGGATAATAAAATCCGTTAATACCCAAACTGCTAAATTCTACTTCAACAGGATCTAATAATTGAAGCATTGACTTTTGATTCATCAAAATATTTAGAGAATCCATTGCTTCGGCAAAAGGTTGGCCGGAAATGACAGTAAACTTGAAAGAATTATTTTTAAATTTTTAGGAGATTTAGGGAAATTTTAATGAGAAGTATGGACAATATTTTAATTTTTCAAAAATTTTCTGAAAACACTCAAAATTTATAAAAAAATATAAAAAAAATTAGAAAGCTTTGGGAACAAATTTTCAGAAAAATCGAAAATTTCATAAAGTTTTTAAAAAATATTACTAAAAATTAAAAAAACTATCCAAAAATTTTTTTAAAAAAGTATAAACTATTTTCATAATAAATTTAAATTTTCACCTCAGAATACAATTTTTCAAGCTTTGTTTCATTAAATATGCTGTCCATATACCCTATAAGCACTTTCAATTTTTGCAACTTTAAATTAAAATTGATTAAAAAAAATTATCTTTCTATTTTCAAAACCTTTTCAAAAGCCGCTATTTTTGTTTGTTCATCCATCCACTAATTTAAATTAATTTATAAAATTAAAATATAAAAAGCTTTTTCAAACCCCATTATGGTCAAGCATTGAATGAAACTCTTTTTTTACGTTTAGAAACATTTCTTCAATTTGTATCTTTGTTGCATTTACGTTCATATATCTTTGGATATAAACTAAAAATTGAAATATTAAATAAATCAGGCAAAACTATCACTTTTAGAGACTTCAAATCCTTTGTAGACTTAAAAACTTTATAAGATGTGAGAGCTCAAACTAGTCTCTCAATGACACTGAGAGACTAATTTATATCAACTAAACAGTGAGGAGAAATAATTCATTTTACAATTCAATTAAATCCGAACAATTAAATGAAAAATTACACTTGAATTGAGTTAATGTTACTACTTACCCCTTTCAATAAGTGCCGGGAACACATTAATCAACACATTTTTGCATTCCTTCCAATGGGCAGGCCTCTCTACTGAGCCTTGTAGCACTCTGTCTAACTCCTAATTAAATTTAAAAATTTGTTTATACTTCCTGTATTTTTACAACATACAAATCCAACATCTAAAAATCTGTCATCTAAATAAGTTACTTCACTTAGAATTAATTTCCAGTCCATATAATCACTTAATACTTGACCAGACAAGTTTTGAGCTAATCTATCGAATTTCTGAAATTTATTGTTAAATTGTTAAAATGTTTAGTAAATTTAGTACACATTATATTAGAAGAAAATGATATTCCTTTCTAACTAGTATCTTTGAATTTTATGTCTTGTATAATAATCCTGGCATTTTTTCCAAGAAGGTTACTCAAAGTAGAGTTTGATACGAAGGTAGGCCAGAAACGTTGGATGGCGTTGGCCAGAAAAAAATTTTCCTTTGGCCCAGAAACCTGGTACTGATAAAATCTGATTTTCGTAAGTTTCAAACCGGAGTAAACTGTCAAGGACAGTTTTGTAGAAAAAACCCGAATCCTGGGCCTCATCAGGGAAAAATAATCATAAAAAATAATTTCACCTTAATTAGAGTAACTTCAGAAATTCTAGCCTCAACATTAGCCACCCCCTCAGGATATTTTTGCAGCAAAACTTGTTGGGGTAAAATATTTTGAAGATATCTAATCCAATTAATAGACCCTGCCAAATTATTTTGAAATTTTTGTATAATTAAGTATTCATCATCAGCATAAGCATTATCCTAAAAAATAAGCAGAAATAAATTCAGAACTCATTTTAGACTTGAGGCGTGACATTATATTTTTAAAATATGGTGTAATATGTTAATAGGAGATCGCTTAAGCAAATCCCATATTCTAAGCCAATAATTGAGGTATATCTATTAGTATCTGGGGTACTTTGCCCATAGATTAAAGGAAATCCAAGTCTTGATCGAGATTCAAGATCAGAATCTTGGACAATTATGTCCGTTATTCTTTAATTTCTATTGACTCTACTTGACTCATTAATTGAATTTCTTAGCCTTAGTGTATAAGTAGACCCCACCCCCTCAAAAAAGCAACAATTTTTTGAGTCGGCAGGACCCCTTGTAAATATAAAAAATAAATGTTTACATAATGTTTGTCTGTTTCATTAATTATTTTAGCCATTTGAAGTTCAACTTGAATAAAAGAATTTACTCTACGGCTAATATCTTCTTTTTTGTTTAATTTTTTAAAAATTATTTGTTCACTATCGTCTGTATATAATAATTCTAATAATTTAGTTAAATATTCTTTTAACGCTTCTAAATATTTTGGTGCCATATTTTCTTCTAAATAAAGCTTTTCACTCATTAAAAACACGTTGTTTGGATTTATCTTTAAATAATTTTAGGTTAAATTAAATGTTTAGAATAATTTCTGATTGAACAAACCATATTTACAAACTTTAAAAATGTTTTACAATTAAAGAGATGTTTAGGGAACATGTTTCTCAAATATAAAAACTCTCTATAACATAAACATGTTGTGGAGATAATTAAATATTTTCCATAAACATTTACATATATTAAAACATTTCTCTTAATCTAAAAACATCTTTCAAAACATTCAACAGACATCAGGGTGGCCCCTTCCAAAACACTAAAATAGGGCGCAGCCACTCAAAAATAGGGCAAAAATAGGGCGAAATCGGCCAAAAATATACAAATATTAAAAATAAATAATTAAATAATTAAAATTTTAAATAAAAAGCTGTATATTCTGTATATTTTTAACTAGTTTAAACTAAATTGAGCAAATGGGGATCAGAAATAAAGAGATCATATGCCTGGATACTAGAGATCGATCTGGGTCTGGACCAAGGGCCAGGGTTTTTCCTGTACAAAACGTACAGTCCCGGGCTTTTTGACATTCCTGGGTTTTTCCTAGGCCTGTGGTTTTCCTGGACTACAGGTCCAGGATCTGGCCCAGGTCAATAAATCAAACCTAGTTCAGGTCAGGCCCAGGCTTTTCACAAATTTAATTTTTTTTCTTTTCAAAAAAAACAGTTTCTCATTTTAGCGCCGCAGGCGAAAATTTTGAGAATTTTGGGAGGCTTTGAGGTAAATTTCTTCATTTTTCAGCGCCGCAGGCGAAAATTTTGAGAACTTTCGAAGGCCAAGAAGCCAGATTTCTTCCTTTTTCTGCCATTTCATTTAAAAAATTCTAAAATTGTAAAAATTTTACGAAATGTTAAAAATAGGGCAAAAATATGGCAAATGAAAAAATAGGGAAAAAAATAGGGCGAAAAGGTCGAAAATAGGGAAAATCCTCTATAAATAGGGTAAAAGGGCCACCCTGACAGACATATATAAAAAACATTCGATATAAAAAAATATATATAAAAAACAAAACATTCAACAGTTATAAATACCCCGAAGTTAGAAACATGTTTGTCCAGACAAAAACATGTTTCCTAACTTCCTCAAGCATTTTAAGTAAAAAAGAAGTTAAGTGAGTGAGGGGCAAACTTCGTTTTCCAAAACTTCGTCCAGTCAAACTCCGACCGACAAACCTCTATGTTACCGAAACTCAATCCAAAGAAAAAACTAATGGGCCGCAATGAGGAATTGGGAAATAAAGAAATGGATTCTTTTGAGGGAGATAATTTTTTAAAGTTTCACGACTTTTCGAAAAACATTTGTTAACAACACAAACAGAGGAAAAACATTTAATGTTGTTGAAAATCAAACATGTTTAGAATTTAAATGTTTTGTTTAATGTTTCAATTTGAAACAAACTCATTTAAATAAACAGAAAAACATACAGTAATTATATTTCTAGAAGTGTTTCTCATATCAGGTCCAACACTAATTTGGTAAAATAAATTGACTGGCCAAACCTAAAAATTTTTAATTTTTAAATTAAAAAATTTTTTTATTAAAGATTAATTACGTTAATTAGCCAGTCAGTAATATACCTCATATCCCTTTTTTGTTTAAGCTTTCTAAAAAAATTTTTACATAATTTAAAAAATTATTTAAAAATTTACTTCATTTTTTGTAGCAGAAGAGAACTTCCAGTCTTTAATCTATTAGCAATATCCAAACAAGAATCGTATAAATTAAACATCATTTTATCATAAGGGGGGTATGAATGGAAAGTTTGGCGATTGTCGAGAATTTCTTTAAAGGATATGAAATAATATTTAATCAAATAATGATACTACAGTCATTCCTCATTTTTAGAACACCGAAAATTGGGAAATAAATACATACTTCGATTTAAAATATTTTCTTATTTGGTATATCAATGTGTGTTCAAAGTCCTAATGATAATCTTAATTATACTCTTTAAAAACGCAAAGCGATTTTTATGAAGTCTAATCGACCCCACAAATATAAATGGAGTCTATGGGATTTTTAAGCCACAAATAGACTAACAATAAGTCTCGTTCGGAATTCCGAATTTCGACAGCTCTGATTTCAAAAAAATAAGACAATTAAATTCTGCTCCGGTATATAAAAATGAGAGTTGACTTTTCCCCCTTTCACCTTTTTCTCTTTTTTCAATTAAATTGCTAATTAATTGGAATTGATTTGAGCTTGTTTTATCTGCTTCAATTGGATTGTTATGCTTTAAAAATATTTTTAATTTTATTTAAAAACATCTATCCACCTTCCATCCACTACAAACAAATTCATAAAAATCGTTGCAAGGATTTAAAGATTTATTTATTGAAGAAACCAATTCTGGATATTCATAAAATAAATTTGAATTTTTATCATCTGCTACATGGTTATCTTGAAAAGTTAATTTCAAAAATTAATAAAAAGTTTTGAAAAAGAGAGGAGAGTTAAGAGCAGCTTCCGGCCTTTCCAAAAAATTTTTTAGCCAGTTAAAAATTATTCTAGATATCACAACCATGAAAAATCAGTATGTAAGTTTCCTATTTTAAGATAATGACAATTTAGGATTGAAAAGTTTTTTGTTTCAGATACTCCGCAAGTTTCCCGTTAATAGTAGATTTTCATATGTGAAGGACAAATAAATAGGTAAACATGACTGATTTGAAATTGGCCTAGTCATGAAAAGACCTTTGCTTATTGTCTATCGAAACATTTAGTTTACTTTATCATCTAAGAACTTACGGCCATAAGATTATTCTTACCGTATAACCTTTATTAATTGTCCTCCCACAAATAATTACCCCACCCCCATTAAGTACCCCATCAAATGCCATAAAACACATTCAAATTTCAAACCTCGTATAATTACCACCATCCCTTCTATTAATTACTTTAACGAGCGGAAGATCGAAACAATAATTACCCAGGGTAGTTAATAAAAGCTTTACAGTATTTCTATATCTAATTCGTCTTTAATAATTACCTGAAGATTCAACTTCCAAAAAGTCGGCTGTTATATTAATACTGCTTAACTCTATTAAGTCATTAGATGAGGAATAATGAAGTTCTGGGATTAATAAAGTAATATTTTTAGCTGTTAACTTATAATCCTTTTTTTCATTTTCTGAGGAAATTTTATTTTGATTGATCTCATTTTCTATTATTTTTTCTGTAGGCAATAAATTAGCTAAAGCAAGCAAAGAATTGTTGAATAATGGGTTTTCATTGTTTAATAATTCAGTTTGGGCGATTAAATTAATTGAAGAAATAATTAAGAATTTTAAATAAATTCTAAGGTCGTTCATTTAATTTACAAGTTTGAAGTACCTAGAGAATTGAATTTTAAAATTCTTGTGAAATTTAATAATTTTATAGAAGGATCGTGTTATAGTGATCCTTCAAAGTCAAATAAAAAAATCAAGCTTGAAGACCTGCTCATAATGATAGAGGAATATATGGGGCTTTATTGTGATAGAATTAGAAAATTTTGACCCTTCCTAAAGACAGTCAAATAGATCATCAATAAAAATCAAAGTTCGTTTTATTCAATTCTGCTGAAGAAAAAGTCAATAAGTCTTGATTAGGAATCAAAACTAAAAGTCATATAAGCCTTAGACATTATATCCTTAATTTAATTAACTTTACTTGATTCGTTCATAAAATCTTGCATATCCTAGCCTTAAGGTCCAACATATAGTTCACAACCAAAATCGAGTAAATTTCCCTTAATTACGAAAATCGGGAGTTCCTGATATTTTTGGGTCAGGAATCCCGAAGATCAGGAATTTATTTTTAACAAAAATTAGCTAAGCACAAAATATCCGAGTTATCAGAAAAATAATTTATTTAATAAATATTTTAATTGGCAATTTAACAAATTTAATGAAAGCAATGTATAAGATTTCATTAAACACTTGAAATTTGTTTGAAATAAATAAAGGAAAAATGTGTGAAGATGAGTAGAGCTATTGAAATTTTAAATTATTTCTATTGTGATTTGTTTATTTTATTTTTTTTTAATTTTATAAGTGGGTTAAAATTTGAAAATTTAAATTTTGAGAATTCTTAATAGAATTTTGAAATATTAAAAAAAAATTTTTAATATCTAGAGGTTTGTAAATCTAAAATTCTCAAAAATTTTAGAAAAACTTTTTATAACAAAAAATTTTATTATTTAAAATAAAAATAGTAGGATTTTAATTTCAAATAAAATTAAAAAAACCAAAAAATATTTAATTTTAATAACTTTTTTTTAAAATTTGAAAATTCGAGAATTAATATTCTTAAGAATTTTTGAATTTTGAAAAATTTTAGAAAATTAAAAAATATTTCTTATTTAGCAAAAAGCAAAAAAACTATCTAGTAAAAGTCTAAAAATTAGTAATAAGTATTAATGGAGATAATAAAAATATATAGATACGACTGTCGCAATTATTTTTAATTAAAACATTGTTTGAACAGCGGTTAGTATCTTAAGCAATTAGGTAGATTACTAATGAACATTATACAAAAAATGGAAATAAGTTTAGTGCATATAAGTTAAAAAGAAACGTATGGCAAATCGTTCATCGCCATTTAAGACTCCGACTTAAATACTTAAGCGATAAATACATTAAAATGCTAAAAATCGGATTATGGAATGAATGATTAAGAGGTATTTGGAGGATAACGTTAAATTAAGGAGGATTAAGAAGGATATCGGAGGATTAGGGAAATTGGGTAAAAACCTTAATATCACATCTAAATCCTTCTAAGTATCAATGAGTTTAAAAAATTATAATATCTAATTGGAACCGAAACTACATCTTTGATATTTATCCTACACCCAAATCCTTCAATATTCTCTTAATCCAAATTTCACCCAATATCACTTCAAATCCTACAACATCTCTTGAAATACCTCGATATCTCTCCAAATCCACTTAAAGTATTAAAATTAATAATCCGCAACAATAGTTTTTTGGGTGTTGATGAAAAAGTGAATGTTTTGGGGTATTGGAATTTACTTTTAAAGAAAGGAAAAAAAGAAGCAAAGTAAAAGAATGATTAAGCTTAAATCTTTAAAGATACTATATTAATTTGGGAATGAATTTAAAAGAATCATCAAAAAGTTTATGAAACAATAATAAAAATAAATTTGGAATTTTGTTAAAAACAAAAAATATTTTCTGTTTCGTCTCCGTTGACGAAACGGTTTTTAGCAATTTTGTTTAATTTTGTGTTTTCGCCCAAATTTGAATGAGAGGCATTAATAAAGAAAAGATTAATTTTTCAATCATTCAAACTTACAACAGGGAAATGGAGAGGAATTTGGGTAGGAAAAAAGGCTGACCACTCTAAGACTCAAAATAGGGGGGGGTGATTAATCCATAAAGTACCCAGGGAACTAAACAAAATGTTAAATTTTTTGGAACATTGTAGGAATATTAAACATCTAATTTCTAGTCAATTTAGCTTATAAAAATGCCAAAAAGAGACAAAAAGTCATGTGTGTGCGTTAACTTCCAGTCCAAAAATTATATTTTTTTCTAGCTAAAACATCAATACTTGCTTAGAAAAGAAAAATTCTTTTTTTCTACATAAAGCCTTCATTTAAATATTCAATTTGTATTAATGCCTTATAGAAAGAAAAATGCCCGAAAGGCAAGAATGTTGGGAAAGTGAGAGATAAAAATTGGTCTCTAAAAGACTAAAGAAGACTAAAAAAGCTTTGTGGCTTAAAGAAGGAAAAAATGTGAAAACGGCAGGGCTCCGATTCGTACTTTTTTAAAAGTATTGTACTTTTTTATCGACCTCCGTACTTCCGAAATTGAATTTGTACTTTTTTGAAAGTATGTACTTTTTTATCAACATTTTTGAAAAAACGAAGAAATCTGGCTTAAGGACCTCCAAAATTCTCAAAATTTTCGCCTGCGGCGCAAAAAATGGAAGAAATCTGGCTTAAGGACATCCAAAATTCTCAAAATTTTCGCCTGCGGCGCAAAAAATGGAAGAAATCTGGCTTAAGGACCTCCAAAATTCTCAAAATTTTCGCCTGCGGCGCAAAAAATGGAAGAAATCTGGCTTAAGGACATCCAAAATTCTCAAAATTTTCGCCTGCGGCGCAAAAAATGGAACAAATCTGGCTTAAGGACATCCAAAATTCTCAAAATTTTCGCCTGCGGCGCAAAAAATGGAACAAATCTGGCTTAAGGACATCCAAAATTCTCAAAATTTTCGCCTGCGGCGCAAAAAATGGAAGAAATCTGGCTTAAGGACCTCCAAAATTCTCAAAATTTTCGCCTGCGGCGCAAAAAATGGAAGAAATCTGGCTTAAGGACATCCAAAATTCTCAAAATTTTCGCCTGCGGCGCAAAAAATGGAAGAAATCTGGCTTAAGGACCTCCAAAATTCTCAAAATTTTCGCCTGCGGCGCAAAAAATGGAAGAAATCTGGCTTAAGGACATCCAAAATTCTCAAAATTTTCGCCTGCGGCGCAAAAAATGGAACAAATCTGGCTTAAGGACATCCAAAATTCTCAAAATTTTCGCCTGCGGCGCAAAAAATGGAACAAATCTGGCTTAAGGACATCCAAAATTCTCAAAATTTTCGCCTGCGGCGCAAAAAATGGAAGAAATCTGGCTTAAGGACATCCAAAATTCTCAAAATTTTCGCCTGCGGCGCAAAAAATGGAACAAATCTGGCTTAAGGACATCCAAAATTCTCAAAATTTTCGCCTGCGGC